GAAGAGTCGAAAGACCGGGCGAGGAGAGGGAGCCCCACCTAGACGCGTGGGACCCACACCCACGTTATCCCACGGTGATCCGCGGTATTTTTTACACCCGGGACAAGCAGTGGGTACGGGTAATAAGGGAATATTGCCACGCGTGTACCCATTGCTGTTTTCCCTGTACTCGGTGTTTTACCCGGCCTCTAGCATGCCCTCGCATCAAAGTGCCATATCGATCCCTTCCCGATGCCCTACAGATGTTGATGTTTGTTTGTGATCCCGCCGATAGCTCGGACTTGGACGCCTTGATTCAAGAACACGACCTCCATATCGTCGTAAAGAGGTCCTCGCGATTGCGGCATCGATAGCGTCTTGTTCTTGAGTTTTTTATGGGAAAAAATTGCCGAGAAGGAAAGTTTCTAGTTTCCAGAACCGAGTTACTAACTAGGGGCATTGTATTGGCCTGAGAATAAGCAACTGGTTTGAACATTGAGTTCTGGAATGAATCAACAATTAACAATTTTAATATAAATGAGAAAAAAATCTCTGAAATTGAATTATTGAAAAAAAAGTGGAAAAAATCTCCTATTTAATCATAATATCATTGACCTCATCTCATGTGCTTGGCCAAAGAATTAAAAATATCATATTCTGCTCAACGGATATCATTTACCAGACTTCAATCCAAAATTGCAGGCACAAACAAAATATAAAATTCCTTCATTTTTGTAACTTAACCCAAAATTGAGGTGTTGAAACGGAGATTAAATTGCTCGCGAGGATCTCCATGCGAGTGACACAATGCGGATCCCTTCCCCGAGTACAATCTCCCAAAAAGTTATCTTCTGCATAAGAATGCATTCTCCCTACAGTCGAGAGTATTCAGCATCAATTTAATCCGAAGACTCTCTCGATTTGATTCCCCTCATTACATTCATCCTTCGACTATCATAAATTGACCCCCGAAATTAAAAAATCGTATTTAATAATAGTCAATTCCCCCAATAATCTCCAAAGTACAGGTTTTCTCACCCGAATGTACGAAAAACCTCTCTTAAAGGTATGCAAATTACTGGTCACGCTCGACACCGGTGTCCCCAAAAAATTTTGTCCAGAAAATTATCCACACTCGTTCCCACAGGGACATAAAAAAATACCCGGATAAGAGAGATGAGTACTTGAAACGTTACAGAAAAGTGCCACCATTATTAATAAAGCAACACGTGTATCGGCAATTTTGCCCGGGCGAACGGGGAGTAATAAAATCCATTTTTGTCATTCATGAAATTTCTCATTTGGACGTTTAATAACTTAATGAAAAAGCATCATCATAATATGAGGCCAGGTTGGATTTCTTATCCAGCATTGAGAATTAACCGTTTTATTACAATCGGAGAGGGTTAATTCATTAATTTTTTTACGCTTATTCCGGGATTATTGACCCGATTTGAAATCCTGTTCACGAATTGGGAATTCCATTAAATTTTTTGCGAAATTCGACATTTTAATTGTTCTAACAGTACGAAGTAACAGTTTATTTGAATTAAATAAACTGTGATGTAATTTTTCAAAATTACATCTCACGACGCATAACATTATTTGGAGCAATATTGATAGCTACATGGGCTTCAAAGCCTGCAATAAACTTGTACGAAATTAATTCCGCGGGACGATATATCTGCTTTCGGGTTACTGGTGTGGGTCCAGTGTGTAAATCAAGCATCGAAAAATCCCCCTCTCTCCCCCCGCGTCCTTGATGACTCCAGAATATACGTATTTACGTTGTACCCTCACTTATATACAAACTCCCGACTCAATATTTCACTCTCCCTTTTGTTCGTTAACTGCTTATACAACAGCGTATAATTTTATTCAAAAACCCTTGCAGACGCAAAATCAATAAATAAATTATATGTCCGGATATTTGAATTTCATCGGGATATTCATTTTTTTTCGTGGCCAGGGGGAGGCAGCGGAATTGAGTGGTATGTGGAAAAGAATTTTTAAATGAAAAAAATTGAGGAGTCGGGCGAGACGCCCACACGTGCGAATTAATATAACAGCTGAGGCGGGAGGGAGGGAATAAAGGAGGATGAGGGTTTTGAATGAGGACAAAAGGGAGGATCTACCGGTTTCAATATTTTTTGTTCATTTTTTCATTTATTGAAAAGTTTTTTTATATAACATAATATATATAATATATATTACACTATGTTCAAGCAGGTTGATAAATGAATAAATCTGTAGTGATAAAGAAATTCCGAAATAAAATTTTGAAGTCAAATTGGGAATTCCCGATGCGAGCATAAATAATCCCTGCTCCATTCCTCGACCAGCCAATTAAGCCCGACGAAGCTGGAGCGAGAATATCGTCACTCTCTGTGGAGGAGCATCAGCGCAAAGCGTTGGCGCTCGCTCACTTATCCATTTTGATTTACGTTTTGACCGTTCAGTGCGCAAGTACCTTTCTTCCCGAGTCTCCAACCCGATCCCGTGAAAATTGTGAAATAAAACGAGCTGGATATTTCCGATTGGTTCTCATCAGTGCTCATGTGACTCGTATATTCACATCGAACCGCATTTCATTAGCATTTCATTAACAGTTGCACTTTTTTTCAACTCAACTCAATTTTTTCTGCAAAAAATTTATTTTTGCAATTTAATTAAAAAAGTACGCGTGAACTTTACGCCCCCAAAGCGAGCAGGGGGCACAGCCCCCTCTTTTTAAATTATAATTTAATGAATTTAAACATTTTAATTCATTAAATTAATTCAATCAATCAATTCCATATCATGTGAATTATTTCGTGATTTCATTATTACAGAAAAATTATTATGCTCCAAATAATGAATGTTAATAAAGTTATCATTCAATGATTTGATTTTTTCAATAGGAAGAACAGCAATTGTTCAATTATTTGAACTTAAATAAAGAAAAATGATTTTTTTTTCAATTTTTTCAACTGCAAAAGCCTTTGTACAAGCGGCACAACGTTTGAAACATAATGCCCCTCCTCGTTTGTGTCTTATCTGGCGACAAACGAGCGCACAACACCGCCACAGGAGTCCTCGGGGTCATCAGATGCCACCGCACACCGATTTAAACACTCCCAGTTGCATTTTCTCGATGGCAAAAGAATACAAAGGACTTTTTAATTATTCCCGAAGCAAGAATGTAAACATCGAGAGTGGAACAACAAGAGAGCTCTGGGAGAATATTTCCAACCCCCTCTGCCGGTCCCTCCTATCGTCAATTACCCCGTGACTAATGCCCACTGGCCGCGGGGCCTTTTCGAAATTCATCAAAATAAAATTAGCCGCACCAACGTGGTAGAGATAATTCATTGGCTGGTAAAGCTCATGATGCTGTATGAATATAAACGCCTTGCGATCAAAAGTCATGGGATGTATTCATATCTTGAAAAATGATTTTTCAAATGTCAAACTTTTTTTTTCTGATTTAAAATAGCGTGATAAAGTGACTAATTGATTTTTTACATGACAAAAACATCAGGCATTACACAGGGAAAAAGTTTCTTGTGTTCGAAGGCAAAAAGTTCTAGTTCTCAATAATTTTTACGGGAATCTCAGTAATTTAGACAGGGAAGAGGGCGAATTCATTAACAGGGGGAATTAATTAATGATTTATTTAATACTAGGGGGCTACGCCAGCTGCTCACTCCACTCGCCACCCCCATGATCCTTATTCTGACCCTTACTCTGACGCCAAAGGAATTATCAGAACGCGGATAAAATTTCTAGCCCACTCTCATCCACAACAGAACCACGTAAAAAACAAATCAACGATAAAAAACACGAAATTGATGACGCAGCCTCCAAGATTAATCGTCAAACCGTGTGTCGCAGTGCACAACCGGTTCCAAATCGCTTAACCCAAGTATTAATAACGCAATAACACAGCTCCACTTCGATAAAAACATTATCTCGAATTTTTCAAAAATTTCACTCATTAAAAAACCCCCCGAATCACGGGATGAACGACCCAACCCGCCCCCCTCCCATTTTTGTTCTTTATTATTTCACGTAGTACACGCCTGGGAGAATGATGAGACACGGATATAAAGTCAAAATGACATGAATCGAAATTTAGGCACGAAGACCATTAAGATTGTAACGCGGGTGGCGTTGAGCCAGTGTCGGGTTAGGGTTTACACGTGGTGCCATATAAGAGGGCTTGACTTTAATTTTAATTTAAAATCGTTGCGCGTCCGACGAGTGGACCACCTACGATCCACTCACTCGGCTCGAAATTTTTCCTCGTCTGAATAATGTGAAGACCTATAAAATGCGAATTGTAACAAAATTGCAAGAGTAATAAATTCGCAATGAGTATAAATGAATGGAAAATAAAAAATTCTAATTTTCTCTCAATTTTTGCGGAACAATTTTCATCTGTAATTGTTCATTACTTCAGAATTTCCACAAGCACATCTCCGTCGGCAGGGGAATGCGTACTCCCCCTCCCCTTGAATTTTTTCTGGATTTTAATCTTCTGCCTACACTCGAAAAGCTCATTAACTTTCGTTTAGAATTTATTTCCCATTTTAATCTTCAAAATTCAATTAATGTTTAAACAACTTTAAAAAATTATTCCGCGTAACTTTTTGCGCATCATCAGTCGCATCGTGTCGTAAAACGTGAAGAATCAGAATAATTTTCCTCATAAAGATCCCCAGTAATTTTCCACCTAAGTGCTGTCGACCTTTTCTCAAGAAACAGTAGCAACTGGAATAACAATTCGATGCGATGTCTTCAAAATATCAAGAGGAAAAAAATCATAATCTGCTGCGAATACTCATTCTTTTCCTGTTAACCAAATGCACACAACGAAGAGGTAAATTAGAGATCCTTATCTCACATGTTCAATACAGATGCGTAAATATTCTGATGAGGAAAAAGTAAATCCAGGAAGATAATCTATGCAACGAATCATGAAGAATTTCTCTCATATAAAAAGGCTGCTTTCATTCAATAGTCATCACTCGCATTTCAATCAATTGTCTGTGTCTTCAGATAAAAAAATCTCTCATCATGAAATTCCTTTCTATCTTCGTAGTAATTGCTATGGTCCTGGCGGCCGTTAGTGGTCAACGCTGCAGGGGACGCAGAGTCGCGGTGAGTTTCCAAAATTTTGTGATTAAAAATTCATAATTTGATTATTAAAATTATAAATAACTCAGACGTGAACAAATTTTAGAGGAAAACCTAGCAAATTCGATAAGAAATTCAATTGGATTTCTTGATTGCATTGAAGGATTCCACAGTTTTAGTGACCGTTTTTTCATTGACAAATGTTCGATTGAAACTATTTTATAGAACAAATCAATAGAATATTATCTTTCTGTACAAGGTTTTCTATTGACATATTTTCTACAGAAATTTCTTAACCTAAAAACCAAGCACTTGATCTCAGTCGAATAAGTTGTACAGAAATATCGAATTCCATTGATTTTTTCTATAGAAAATTTCACAAACCAAAATCCAATAGATTTTTCTAGTGAAAAAAAAAATTTGTAATATTTTCTGTAGCAAATATTGCGAGCTAATAGTTTAATAAAAGAATGAGAAAAGATAATAGTATATTTCAGCACGTGTGGGGCAATTTCGTCTTTAACGTGTGTGGGGTTTACAGCATGAGCCGAAGGCGAGTGATGTAACCACACACGTTAAGGACGAAATTTCCCCACAAGTACTGAACAAAATTTTATGTCACGAAGCCTGAAACCGGCTGAATTAGACACGAGACGCGAAGCGTCGAGTGTGTAATCCAGCCGGTTTCAGGCATGAGTGGCATAAAAAATGTATATAACAAAACAAAAGATATGCTTCCCATATATAATTTTCACATGAATTCAGACGAGACGAATCATGAATTCAAAATTTTTAATACGATTTATGTGGTTTCAGTGTACCAACGACAGACAGTGCTGTTCGGGTCTCTGCCGCAGGGGACGTGGATGCGCCTGTATGTATAAATCATCTTAGGCTAATGACAATTGATCAGTCACTGACATTAATTAATTAATGGATTTTCAGAAGGAGATACCGGATAGATGACTTCGATATCGCAAAACTACTTGGAAACAGCATTTCTCAAGGCTCTTGTTTAGTGCCAACCGTATTATTATGATCTACAAGGGTTCTTTATTGATTTGTAATTGATGGATACCCGGAAATACAAATATTCAGGCATATTATTAGTTAAATTTTTCATTATCACGTGTTGTGCCCTTTTTCCTGACCGCTTCGATATTCATTTCTTCAATTAATGAGTTTATAACTCATAGCAAAAAGTAATACGGCCAATAAGAATCGCCCGAGTCGAGGATTTGGTTCTCATTGGACGTACACAGGACGTACAGGTCTTTCAATCTGTTTTTTCACCCGGGGCCCAAGTGTCAGATCTTGGATTTTTCCCGGGAGAAAGTCGACTTTCGCCAAAATCGAATTTTTTCGCTGAATGAACGTTGATTGCGATAATCCAAGCGACGGGATATCCAGAACTATCAACAGTATGGGGGAAAAGTCAAAAATGGAGAAAAAATTAGAACTACATGAATTTATGGGAAGGATATCATTTCTAGTCTTGAGAACGCTTAAAAAATATTTCGGGATAAGAGATTCCCATCCCGTTGGAAAACTTTTTTCTCTCAGTCTGAGGGCGAAATTATTTATCAGGAGCCTTCGCGGTTTTTAAAAGTGACGAGAGAATCTTTATAATTTTAACAGTGCACTACGCTCTGATTGAACATGAAGGAGATGAAAATACTAATTAATCTAGCCCTACCAAATGGCTCAAAAAATCCTAACCGACGAGGCAATCATCAAGGAGGAGGTACAGGCCTCTCTATCAATTACTTGACTGTTGGTCACTGGTTGAGCGATAACAAGGAGTTAGCGACGCCGGTGGGAGGTCTCCGACAATGGGTTATACGCCTTCGAGTCACTGTATCAAAGACTGAAACGGGTAAAGGCCCCTCCTAGTCGAGTCATCGTAACTCACGATGTATCTGCGGGATATCCCCGTTTGTTCTACGATAGCAGGGACAAAACGAACGGGATTACAAGATATCTAGGACGAAATCATTAATTGTGGCGACGATATATCCGTCAGTTGTTTTTTTCAATTTACCAAATTAGTTTTCATTGGATGATTCATGTAGATATGAATTATTAATAATCGTTTAACGATTGATTGAATGAAATACGAGATTTCATCAATTGGAATATTAGAGAGAAATGTCGAATCAATTATCTCAAAGGGGAACTGAGAATTTTGCGAACAATTTGACAGATTGTCATTTGGAAATCCTTTCTAAAAAAAAGCATGGACAATGTCTCGGATCGAAAATGAGAACTCGAACATGACGAACATTGAAGTCGTAACAGAAATAACTCCTAAATCTCTTACAAATTCAGTTGTACATTCGCTACGGAAAACCGAGACTCTACTAATTCTGATATTCTTCTCCTTATCCTTATCCTGTCTCGTATCTTCCTCAAAACATTACGCAATGAACATCTAGATTTATGTCTCACTGTACACCTAACTCTGATATAAACCCAGACTATGAGAGCAGAACCTCCAGTGGAATTTATGCTCGATAATTTTCCTACAATGCCAAGACCTTTTTCCTCCTTTTCTCCGAGACAATGCCGGGTTTGAGTGCGCCCTCCACCCCTTCTTATCTCTTATTTTGATGTGATCTCAACGAGTGCAAGTCAAACGGACCCGTGTAACCCCACACCGTCGAGTGTTGGGTAAACAAATCCGGCGAACCAACAAAAACATTTCCCCTGATTTTTTCATTTATGTTTATTTGCGAAAATTCCTCACAATATGATGAGACAAATTCCTGAATACTGTTAAAAAATTTTAGCCGCAATCAAGTGACTGATCTACTGAAATTCCAAGGACTTTTGGCATTGAGAATTTATAATTTGATTTTAAAGTAGTATGAATAAACGCAATCAATTGTTAGTTTTTCAATTTTCAGTTAGTTCACACAGTAATTCAATTAATCTGTTGTTCATCTCATCAATATAATTCCGAATTTCGCGATTTCCACTCCTTAAATTAAAATTATTATCGCTCCCCTAACAATTAATCCCAATCTGTCCATGAAATTTCAATTGTTTCCAACACTGAAGCCTCAAAAATTTTGTTCACCGAAAAAATAAAATGAAAACATTCATTTTTTATCGACCGAGTAAATTACAATCGACGCGATAATTTGACAATGATAAACGGTGAATAATGCGAGATTCCGTGTCCGATTTCACGTGTATAAAACACGCGAATAAAAAAACATCCTTAAAGAGTGAAAAACGAATGCAACATCGTAAATCACTAATTCGCAAGTGGCCCGAAAGTAATGCCCGATTCCAAGTACGCAATTACGTGGGCAACGAAACAATGTGAAAGAAGGGACAATACTTATTAGTTTCCTCGGGTGGGCGAGATATATTCTCTCTCTTATTTTTTTTTCTTCATTCGAGGCTTTTTTATCTCCTTCGTCCACACCAAGTGCTCGAGTCCCCTTCCTCTATACAAGTTTTGTGAAGGTATGCAGATCGCCTACAAGTCGAACAAGGTGGCAGTTTTGCACCTCAAAATGCGAGAATTTATTATTAATTTATTTAATCTTCACAATTCGACCCATACGATTTAGCTCGTCAAGATTGCGTGATTTCATTAATTTCAAGTGATTTAAATGGGTTAATTATTACTAATTACCACTGTTTTCTACACAATAAATTTTTTTTTTAATTAATTTTTTTCTTTCACTGGAATGAATCTTTAGCCAATGTGAATTCTAGATTAATTTCTCTTCGTGAATTGGAATGAAAAGAGAAGATAGAAGACGAAAGAAGAAATTTCACTCGAGATTTTTTCTCTATCTTTCCAGTAGTTTCTACTTGTGCAAATGTAAAGGCTTAACTTGACTTTGACCTAAAACCACAAAATAATCCAAATTTCCCAGCTCAAAAAATCCCAAATTAATTCCCCTTCAATGATACAAATTAGGGTCCGCGATGACTCCCCGAAATCCCCACAATGCGAGGACCCGTCAAGATTAAAATAAGATGAATGAAGGTCAATAAAAATCCAATATCATCCATTTAAATATAAATAATAATAACTCTTGTCCACAAGTAAACTAATTCAACGCGACAAAAGATCTCTTCGGGGGAACGTATAATTTTTCCGCAGAGCTATTTTTTCTCTCGTGTTAGTGTTTTCTAAAATTCACATCGCAAAAGCGTTCACCTCGCGTTCGTTTCCCTCCTCGTCCCATTCAAATGCAAACAACAACGATAATTGCAACTGGACACATCCCTAATCCTCCCCAATCACAGAATCCAGAATTATTAAAACTCTTTCTGCCTCCATTGATTTCTTCCACTGCAGGGATTAACTAAAAAATCTATTCAAGGAAAATCGAGTGGATCGAAACGAAGGGCCATTGGGTATTTCTCCTGTCTCATTCCGCGCAAGTTATGCCGGTGTCTCAAGAGACTCAACAAAACACCTATAGAAAATGCAGTGGGCATTAGACCCCGTGTGGGTGCGGTCCCAATTATCCACAGTGGCTCTCAATGGTGAGCCCTCTCCCACTCCAGCATCAAAATCGAAACAAGAAACTAAGTGACAGAGGAATAAAGAGCAACTCAAGATGAAAATAAAACGAGATATCGTACGAATACATTATGCGCGATGCTTTTTCTTCGAGTGACTTTTTTTTTCTCATTTTCGTAACCCCGAGTCGTGCGAATCGAATCGTTTTGCCACGACTCGTTTGCACACGTCAGGAATAAAGAGTACACGCATGCGAAGAGGGCACCGGAACCGGATGATTCCACCACGTGGGAGGGAGTGGTGAAAAAATCATCACTCGTGGTGAGAATTATGACAATGGGAAAATACAAATTTGAGGTCTCCGTTGATATTATTCTTATTTTATTAGTTTCTGGGAGGATGTGAAAAATGATCGGGGAATGACTTCACGAAAATAGTTACTGAGAGGCTAGTGACGAGGGCAGGTAAGTCGAACGACTATTTTGATATTTATTCTCGTTATATTTCTGTTGTGATGGCGGTACTTGTGTCTCGTTAATCCTAGAAAATCTATGCTGAGGCGAAAGGAGCTCTGAAGGATTACAAAGAGTTGCGCAAGCGAGGGGCTCAATTAAAAATCACGTGAAATCATTGGGACATCGAAAAAAATAATACCTCATTTCAAAAATTAGTCCCTTTGAATCTCCGAAAAAAAATTTAAATAACTTAATTTATTATATTATATAACAATAACTGTTAGAATCAAATGAAAAATTATTTTCTTAAAATTATTTTCTGAATCAAATAAGGAATGCGTTCACGAAATTTTCATTTTTTTCAGTTAAATATCGCAGAAACTGTAGATTTTGTAGAAAATTTTACAAGAAAATCACCGTATTAGGAATCTATGAATCTGTCACGGATTATAAACATTATTCTTTTCTTTTAGAATCAAGTAATTCTCATTATTTTTTCATGAAAAATGGAACAATGACATTCTACCTCATTATTATCCCTCTCCATTCCCAAAAGAATTATTTATTTATCATTTCGACAACTGTAGATGCGGTCTCTCCATGACCCGCGTGGGCGCAACTGCGTACTCGTAAATATCACCCAGTAACGAGAGGCTGTATTGTGAATACATCCAATGATGGGCGAAATAAAGGGTCGGGAGAATAAATACGGGAGGCTCTATGTCCTTAACACTGCCCGCACAAAAAAATAAATAAATTCCAAAACGTTCTTTCACATTTTTTTGTTATTCTTGACGTTGAATTTTGGAGAAAGTCGAGGCCTGAGGTCTAACGGCCCACGCGAGAGTGAGGGAAATTCGTTCAGAAATTATTGACAATCGTAAAGAGTCTCTGAGTGGACGGGATTGAATGCTCATCATCGCGGTCTTAAGGCGTTTTGTGTGTAGATGAATAAAAAAAAATCAAAGCAAGAAAAATTCAAATTTTTAAATAAAGTATTCGATTAAAATATCGCGTGAAAGTGAAATTAAGAGTTCCGTTGTCTCATACCAGTTTTTTACGCATTTTTCAATTTTTTTCATTATTTTGACTTTCCACATGAAACACTTTAAATCGTAAAATTGGAATGACGATTGCGAGCTTGGGATTTCTCGGGGTTACGGTGGAACTTCACGCCTGTTTAATTCGTTCTCACTTGTTCGGGATTCAATCATGCGGTTATGCAGGAAGGAGAAAATCCGTGTGAAACGTAAAATGTTGATCTTCAATGGATTATTGAATTTAACAAGAGAATCATCGAATTGTGTCCAAAATAATCCATTCATTTTCTCTTCTGCCTCACCTACCACAACTTCGCTAAATGATTTCGCTATTCCCTCAATAATTAATTATCCAGAAAATGAATTTAACCTGAACTAACCGGAAATGACTTCGTAATTACTTTCTAATGAACTTTTATCGATTGAAACTCTCGTAATCCCATCGACAATTCTGTTAATCATCTGAGATTAAATTTCTCAACTTACGGAAAAATTTCGATTTTCTCTTCGCTAATTTCTTCCCCTTGTCTTTGACTGTTTTTCAATTAAAGATTATGTGACACGAGAGATGGAGCACGACACCACTGGTATCTCTCTCATCACTGCGCAAATGCCCTGTACCCGCAATCCATGCCAAATCTCCAGTTACCCTCGAGGGAGGTAAGTGTGTACTCGAGAAAAATATGTTCCAAAGGAGAATCCCAACCGACTCAATTACCAGTTGGGTAGAAGGCCACAGTGATAATTAAAAAGTTATTACGTCCAGGCTCGTTTCTACTGGCGACTCTACACGAGACGAGCGAGGCAGGGGCCTTTGTACGAGGTAAAACTCAGTCGTGCACTTCTTCGAACTCTCAGGAGGTACATATGTCATTATGAGCGAGGAAAAATATATTTGTTGGAGTAATTGGAGTTTCTTGCGTCATTTTTGGTATTGGGTATTTGTCAGGGATGGAGGTACGAGGGTGAAGAACATTACTCTCTCCCCGGAACTGATTAAGGTCAAGGGACTTGATGTGTTGGAAAGGAATCAACTGATTGAAGAGATAAAAACCTATATAACGTACGCCAAAACTAAGAAAATCCTAAAATTTTGAGGTTGAATTATTGTCTGATAGATGAAATCGGAAGTATTCGCTCTCTGATTTAAGAAAAAATGTTCGGAGAAATTGGGAGCAATTGTTCATGCTTTGAGAATGATATAAAATCAATTTTGAGTGAATCGCGTTGAATGGAGAATTTTTAGAAAGGTTTAAAAACGCGAGGTGGTGACATACCAAGTCTCCGCCATATTGGAAACTCTTTCTTTTCGCTACAGAAGGACTCGCAACATGGCGGCTTCCACCTCATGATTTCAAACATTTTCAACAATTATTTTTACTACTATTTCTCCATCTTCACTTTGTTCTATCCTGTTCTGGCCATGTGAACGAATTTCTTGGGATTGTTTTTTGCTTTTGTCTAGGCATGAGTTGAGAAAAATTGCTCAAGTAAAAATTTGCCCCCATTTTGATAGTTTTTCTTATTGAGTCGCCTCCTCGAATGAAACACATTCCAGGAATCAAAGAAATGTTGAGAAATTTTCAATGGAAGGACTCGAATTGAAGCGTATGGAGGGTGTGGCTTTACTGTTGGCTCTACAAAATTCAAGAAAAACACTCAAGTGTTTGTACTGCTGGGGGGCTTTCGAGAGAACCGAGGGTCCTCTTCTCGTGGACACTGGGAACTTCAATGGCACCGGAGTCTACAAAGACCGAGTAATTCGGGAGAGTGAGTGGTTGCAGGCAATAGGATATCTTCAAAGTCTCACAACGCTCTCACTCAACTACGCGTACATTGCGAATGCTGAAGGGGATTTCCTGATCAAATTATCGGAGTAAATATCTCAGACTCATCTGAAATTTCATCTTCAACGTGAATCATTACTTTGGCAGGACGATTGGAGAGCATTGGCGGTGGCTTCAGTTGCTCTGCATTGAAGATGAAATTCCAGTGATTACGAATCCTAATGATGGAGTGGGAGGCCATGAGATACCGGATATTGCTTGGAAAAATGCGAGGGTTTTTGCACCTGAATTGAAAGTGCAATTTGTGTTCGGTAAACAACGCAATTTAAAACAATTGCGTCTTTTTATAAATTATTATAGTTATTGTTGCTAATAAATTAGCAATTTGCTTCCGGATGGGTTCTCTCTTCTTAATTCTTATTTCACTATTCTCTCCTATTTTTTCACGCCGCAGTATTAGCATCAATTGAAATATCATCAAAATTTTGCGTAGTATTTAATTCTGCCAAATAATTCTACATTCAGACCCTCCCAAGACTCGAATTCGTTTTAAAAAAATAAAAAAACGTGACTTTAAAATGTTTTTCTTATCTCATTGGATTGTGGATTGATTTTTTAAATTTTAGTCGATGTCTATGGATACGATAATCAGAGGAGATTTCTGAGCAAGAGTATACCTGTGCACACGATAATAATTTCAACAAGTGTCAGAATGAAACGCGAGGATCCCTCTATGATCGACTGCACGATAAAAACTCTTTGGTTTTGGTATCCCGAGACTCTGGGTAAGACTTGAATCTCAATTTCCTTCTTCAACAGCTCATGATAATGCAGGTTTCATTATCATGTTCTATTGATAATAACCTTCTCATTAATAGCTAATTAATTTATTTATTTAGAGAATTTATTCCATTTAATTTAGAAAATTTATTAATTTAGTAAATTAAATAGATAAATTCTCTAAATTGAATTAAATAAATATATAATATATATTCAATGAATTTATGTAGAATATTTTATCCATGGAATCATTAAATTTCTTCATTCAAACAGTTCATCTAGCTCTACAACTCTGGCATCACCAAGAGACGCTAGACAGTCTCCTAAAAAAAATTCTAATAAACTTACCGCACGTAGAGGTCCTCGAATTCACCGGTGAAGTAAGAGAAATGAAAACTCTGCACACAATCTGCACCCAAATCACCAGCCAAACACTCAGTAAAACACACTCTTCAAATTCTCTCAACAAACCTGAAAAATCAAAAACCCCAAAAATCATTCAAATATTTTTCTTTCAGAAATAAAATACATCAGCTTTCATTTGCAAAGACCCATCCATGCCCTCATAAACGAAGAAGAATGGAAGACAAACACCTTAAACTTATTATCAACCTTTCAACAAGATTTTACGAAACAGGGAATCACCTTTATAATAAACTTCTACCCAATGTGACCAAATCTCATCATAATCTCCAATTTATTCAATCATTACAAGAACCACTTGCATCAATAAAAAGTACAAAAGCTGAATGCCAGTAAAAGCATCTGTTGAATAAATACAAATGTCGTAGATTTACAAAAAATGAACTTTCTTAAAACTCCAATATCTCCAAACCAACCGGCACGATTCGAATAACTCTGCTTTCTCTTCAAAGATCAAAAAAAGATCTTCAAAACGAACAAAAAAATCGTGCAACTTCCCCCTGTCAATTCCGAGATATCGGCCACTAACGAAGGCCCATTTACCAAAATCTCCCTCGACTGAATTGTCTCAAAGAATTCATCAAACCTAAAATTCTCTACGCCTCATTACTCTCCTGCTGCTCAAACTTAGGGTACTTGGCCTCAACCTCCCCCCAAGTAATCTTCCCATTAGCAAGATCCCTGACGACCCCCGGCAGATCGTCAACCCCAATCCTGACTTGTCCCATAGAATCCCTCTCCCTCAACGTGACCGAATGCGGCTTCTTCAAAGTATCAAAGTCCACAGTGATCCCAAAAGGAATAGCGATCTCATCAGTCCTGGCATACCTCCTCCCAATGCTCCCAGAGGAATCATCCACCTTATGCGAAACATCGACTTTCGTCAGACCCTGCGACAACTCTTTCACAAACGGCACAAACTCGGGATTCCCACTCAGCGGAAGAACGGAGCATTTCAGTGGCGCCACCACAGGCGGCAAACTGAGATAGGTTCTCATCTCATCCCCCTCGCGCTTCTTAAAGTTATGTTCCAACACGGCGTACATGACCCGGCCAACGCCGAAGGAGGGCTCGATGACAGAAGGGATAATCTCCTCGACATGAACAGTCTTCTGGTACCTCTTGACCGCCACCATTTCCTTCTTCATCTCCACCTGGGACCCATCCCCCAACGTCAGCCTGTAAGATCCATCCTCCGAGCCCTTCTCCAATCGATCAATCTCGTCCTTATCTAGAGCATCGAGTGTCTCGAGAACGGCTTTGGCTTCTTTTCTGAAAGTTTTCCCAATGATTCCTCTGTTAGGCGCTGCCTCCACGACGTCAACGACCTTAGGAGCCGGGAGTTTCTTCTCGGCAACCAACTTGACCCCCGTCGACTTCGTGTGTTGTGTCAAATCGTAAGCAGACCTGTCCGCACACCCGACACACTCGATCCATCCGTAACTAGTCAGACACTCCGCGTCCCAGCAGTCGCAAGCATAATGCGCCATCTCATTGCTCATGTGCTGCCTGAACCTCAGTCGTTTGGGATCAACTCCCACCTTCGTCAGGAAGGTTTGGATCCTCGCCATGAAGTAGCCGAGGGTCTCGTTAGCCACCAGTCCAGCAGCCACAGCTTCTCCAATGGACTTCTGCTCAGCGCTCTTTCCGTCCATCTGGTTGCAGGCGGAATACAGCATGAGTTTCGTGTCCTTCACGTTTTCAAATTTCGGGTGAGACTTGTCGGAGGGATCGCAGAAGTGCTCGATCTCAGCCATCGTGAATTCTCGGACTCTGATCAGCCCCGACCTGGGGGAGATCTCGTTCCTGAAGGCGTTGCCGATCTGCGCAGCTGCGAAGGGAAGCTTGTCCTGGTTGAATTCCAAGAGACGCTTGAAGTTGACGAAGATTCCTTGGGCTGTCTCTGGTCGGAGGAAGCCTTTGATGAGCCCTGTGGGGCCTATCTGCGTCCCGAACATCAGGTTGAACTCCATGGGCTCGGACAAGTCGTTTCCGGTTGAAGGGGACTTCATGTTGAAGCGCTTGAGGACTTCTGACATCTCGGATTTGGTCATTCCGTCGAGCTTAATCACGATGTCTTTGCAGTCTTCTCTGGTCTGTTGGTCTGTCTTCTTGTCCGCTGTGATCTTCTCGAGGTGGGCTTTGATCAGGTGATCCAGGCGGAAACACTCGCCGCTTTTCAGGTCTTTGACCATGAGGTCCGCGAATCTGTCGACGTGCCCCGAGGCTTTTAGCACCGGCTCGGGGGTGAGGATCGAGCAGTCGACCTCCAGCATCTGCTCTTCCAGGACGAAGAAGTTTCGCCAGGTGTTTAGGAGGTTTGTTTTGAAGGCACAGCCCATTGGACCGAAGTCGTATTGACCGGTTATACCACCGTAAATCGCGAAGGACTGGTCGAAGAAGAATCGACGTTTCAGGAGGTCCTCCATTCGGGTTCGGTCGAAGGTCTGGGATTCTGAGACGAAGGACAACTCCTTGTCTTCTAGAAGCTTCTTGCGGAGTTTTAGCTCTGCTACTGCTTTCTTCACGTCCAGCTCCGGCGCACCCGTGGATTTCAGCTCGCGAACCAGGTCGCCCTGAGTTCAGAAGTTGATGTGAGGTGTTGCTGAGGTGGAGTGATGGTGGGTAGTGCGTGGATTCTTGGTTTGCTGTTTCTGGGTGGTGTAGGTGTGGATGGTTGAGCTTTCGACGGGAGCTTTCGGTATATTTCTGGATTTATGAAGGATGGAAAGGGTTCTACGAGAACGGTTTCTATGAAAATTTAGGGATCTCGCCTTTGAAGAACTTGGAAATGACATTGTGGATCGTAAAGAGGGATTGGACGGATTTTTCATAGAAAATTCAAGGCTGAAGAAAAGGGAAAGTGAATTCTTGTTCAACTGTTTCTGACTGGTGTAGGTAGCCCTATCCCTATCCGCCCGTGACAAAAAATAATAAATCAAAACGGTACCAATAAACCCAATCATAAGACCTTTCGCCAAAAATGTAGAATAAGCCGCAAAAAATTGGAAGAAAGTATGCCCAAGATAATTACACAAAAAATTGAAAACTTTAAAAATCAAGAGAACTCCCCACCGATCCTCGAAAAAAAATATTCAAAGAATAAATTTAAAAAATATTGCCAGTCATCCCGAAATTGGGGGTTTCGGCGACATTCAACTATTTCTTAATTAATTATTCGTTGTCTTGTTATTTTGACTTCAAATAATTTTTTCCTGCCAATTAAACCATTCCTATCACGAAGCTCGAATTTCCCTTAACCGTCCATCAATTGGCCTGCTCACCCTACCTGATTCACTACTGATTCCCCACTATTTCATTTTGTTCATATCAAAATAATGATCATAAATTAATATTGCCCAATTGCCATTCTCTGCCAATCAAGCTCTAACATCAAAAAATACTTTACTATTCAACAATAAAACAAATTACTGATAAACTAATAAAATAAAACTCTAATAATTACTATAATTAAACAAATAATGGCACCTCTTGTCGAAAATGTGGAGTAGGTTAAAAAATTGGAGAAAGGTTGTTTGGGAGAGTCGAAAGTGTAATTGGAGCATTTGTGGTTAGGTTAATTGGTGGATCAGGGAATGGCATTGTTAAACTCTGATGAAATATATCCATATGGTGAATTACCTGCTCCTTCACACTGGCCCGTAGGGGTGCAAGGGCCTCCTCAATCTTAGGGTCGGACATGTCGAGGGGAAAGTGTAATTTGACAGCTCGGTGGTGTTTCTTGGAACCCCAATTATCCGGCAAACTTTTGGCTAACAACAATCGAATTGTTCGTAAATCACGCTTTGTTGTTGCAAGGGGGGTAATGGACTCCTGCAACAATCTTCCAGGGATTCGCAGAGCCAACTGAAACAAACGCATTCGCGTGAAAGTTTCGATCGCGTTTGATTACTCGGCCACGCGGTCACGAATGCTGATGCATTCCGTGTGGGTGCTCGCCGGTTTATGAATTCCGGGGGGGGGGAGATGGAGTAAGCGGGAAAATTTCAAAATTGTTTCGCGACACAATTGATGAAAGTTTGGAAATTATGGTTGTGTGGTGATTGTGGTTTTTTGATGATGACGACATTTTGGAAGGGAGCGGAAGTGATGAAATGGGCGGGGAAATTGAAATTTTTTTTTTGATGGAAAGTGAATGAAGATGCGAGCCCTATCGTTTTTTATTCTCTCGGGATGATTTTTCTTGTCTCTTTTATTATGAGATTTTGGAAAAAAGCGGAAGTGATGAAATGGGCGGGAAATTGAAAATTTTCTCATGGCAATTGAATTTAAATATGAAAATTATGATTTGAACACCACTTCAAGTTCCCAAAAAAAACACCCATTCTGCAGCACCTCCCACAACCAACTCCACAAACAAAAAAACCCCAGGGATTTAAGGAATGAAAAAAATATCACAATCCATATTTCAAAATTCTTGTAATCGGGTAATTCCCATCAATTACAGCCCTATTCATGACATTAATAATTTCATAATTACTTTTACTTCATAAGCATTTACATGCAGTCGGCAATATCGATCGACTCGGTCGTCAATACCCCCCCTAGGTTCCATGAAACTTAAAAACAAATATATATATCCATATATGACCTCTGATTCAATATTGATTCTCTCAACAACATTAGGATGAAAAAACGATACCGTCGATGATAAACAATGCTCATTATATATTACATAAGATCGAAAATTTCCATTTACTTGAAATGTCTTCATTTTCCATTTTTGTCCGATGAAAATTCATACAAACGAAGGAAAAAATACATCTCTCGACTACAGTTAAATAAATAAAACGTATGAAAATGTAAATAATGGCTATTTACAGTTATGTAAATGGCAAAGAAGCTATAACAAAGACGAAATAAATTTTTATCTATACATATATAGTTTTTCTTCGCTTTTCATTGATTTTTTTTTTCAATCTGAAAATTCTAGAGGTTATTTTTTACGATTCATCGAGAACAATGGCGATCCAACACTAATTCTGCTTTGTACACTTAAAAACTAAAAAACGCCTTAAAATCCAATTTCTCAATTTTCACAATTTCATTACGATTTTTTTATCAATCACCCCCTTTTTAATTATCTGAATCAATGAAAATCTCCTAAACCTGTAATGCATATTAGCTTCGTTTATTTTAGCTCACTGCGCAATGATAATTCATCTACTAATATTTATATTATTTAGTAGCTTCAGTGGCTAAACTGGATAACTCGATTTCCAAATTTTTGAAATAATTTTCTTCTCGATATCTCGGAATCTAAGAGAGGTAGGAGAATTTTCGCTAAGACATTTCTTTCTAGAAAAAATCGAGATCTATAAAAAAGGTCTGAGTAAAAATTTCGCCATCTGCCTTCAATTTTATGATATTTGATAAAAACCGATGTCAAAATTAAATTTGTTCCCTCTCATAGCTGCGTCCTTTCATAAATATCGGAGCTAGATAGCGATATTTTTCTGACATCTTGTTGGTGGATAAAATTAAGATCTAGAAAAGAAAATCCCTGAGAAAAAATTTTCTATCTCTCTCTAATCTAGAGACTTTATTCAAAAAATAATAAAAAATAAAATTCAAATGTTTCCCAAGGACCTGAAATTTCTACGAGAAAATGCATCCTTTATAACAAAAGTCCTTGGAAAAATTTAATTGAAAGATTTTCTTAAAAAACTGATGTTCACGTGAAATCGACTCATCCAGTCGCACCCCTCCACCGCCAAATGCTTCTTTCTTAATCCGGGGAGTGCAGGGATATTAAATACAGGCAGATCTGCATATCATTGATTTTCAAAACCCATCAAACATTCCTCAGAAATAAACAACACATAGTAAAAAAAATTATCGAAAAGAAAAATCAACGAAGAGTAAAAGATCTGAAGTGAGACGAGTATTTCCATGATTGATTGAGAAAAAAATTGTTAAAAAAAATTAATTCCCCTTTAATCAACATTTAATTTGGTCAAATTAATGATCGAATTAGCCCTTTATTCTACGAAATATCACAGTACAATGTGAAGAACCTGCGAATGACTATCGAAGCACTCCCCCATACCTTAATTTGTTTTTCTTTTTTTTTTATCAATTTATCTATGTCCCTTTAATTTTTCAATTGCTTGGACAGAATGCTAATCAACAACAGTCCTACGTCTACAGTAAGATCATCTAAGTGATTACAGAATCAGATAATCCCAGTGTATTCATCTTGAATCAAAATTCTTGATTATCAAATTTTGTATTACCTTTTTTTATTCTCTCTTAATTATGAATGAAGAAATGATAAGAATTGGTATCCTTAACATTTTACGCCTATTCATATACAACTGCTATCGATACAATTCATTTAATCGTGTGTTTACTGGCTGCTAAATGTGAATACTGTACGTATTTAATGCATATAAAAATTCATAATGTTTATTTTTCGTCGTTTGGCGCACGTTTTGGAGACTTTTTGATACAAAAAAAAATTGAAGGAGCAAACAATCGTATACCCAGACTCAGTTATTTACAAAAATCAAATAGAAATTGATGGATTATTGTAAATTATTTATGTATAAAAAAGAGATGTGTCATGTTGTGCTGATAATTAGGTCAATTTTTTTCCTTATTCACGTCAAATAATTCCCACGTCGAATTGCAGTTACGAGAGAAGGACTTAATGAATCTGTTATCTACACAATTAATCAAACGAAAGAACAAACTTACAATTTTGCTGAGGAGAGGTATCAAGATTGGAAAATTACCTCATGTTAAAATACCTCAATCAGCAATTATTTCAGGGGAAAATGTTGAATCTGATTGAGAACTGATTGGATTATCCCTTCCATGCTGATGATTTCAGTAATCATTTTTTATATTCAAAAAATGAGAAAAAATCGAGTTTTAATTTTTTCTATTGAAAGTTTCTGCTAAGGGGGCTATTTTAAAGATTTTACAGCGACATGTCGTCATTGGAAATAATTAAAACTACATTTTTTTCCCATTTTTTTTTCAAGTATAAAAAATAAGTGCCATCTGAATTATAAGGAGACAAACCCCTGCAACTTTCAAATTTCACCGCAGTCTCCCCTCAAGGAATTAAGAAGCATTTACTTGATTTATGGTTCTACAATTTTTCGTTCCTTCATATCGATGAAGATCATTCTACGAGATAATGCCTTCACTCTACTAAAACCTCTCCTCAGCAATATCAAAGGAACTTCACAATAAATCACCTTCCCACCATTGCACTAAAAAAGTGTTGAAATATCGATATTTCACGTAGTAATAAGTTATTTGTGACTAACCATTTTACAACGATGTGTCTTAAAGCTTCAGTCTACGTTGTTTCTCGAAAATCATAATAAACGAGATATGAAATCACCTTTCACCGGTTAATTGAATCTCTTCATGTGCCACTCCTCTCATGCATCATTGCAAGAGGAACAATCGTTAATCAAAGAATAATAATTTTCACAATCAAAGATTCCAATTATCAAAGTGAAAAAGAAAATTAAGTAAAAATTGTTCACCAACAACTGAGGATCACGTTTTGATTTCATATCTCGTCACGCATATTTTCATTGAAAATAAACTTATTGGAAATGAAGTAACAGCTCGCTTGGAGAGTTAATTAACTTACTGAGTTGGCGGCTGCGATTCATTAGGGATATTTGGATTCGCATAGGGTGGGAAATATGAGTAATTTGGATAGGGGGGTGGGGGTGGATGGGGAAAGGGTGCGTAGTAGTTGGATGGGGTGTTGGTGGGTGGTGGTGCGTAGCCGCGATGCATGTACGGATCTGCCACTGGTGGAGGTGGTGGATGCAGTGCTGAGTACATGCGGGCGTAGTCTGCGTTGTACGAGGGAGTACCGTAGGCACTGTATCCTGGGGTTCCTGAAATTATTTTTTTATGCAGAGTCAATTAAGGGTCACCTGTTCGTTGCATTGACTTTTTTTTATTTTTTCAAATTTTACCAGCTATAAAAAATATTCCTCAACATTTAATAATTAAAATTCTGCGTAAATTGATAATAAATATCCCTATATTAATTAAAAACTCAGGTAAGTTCAGAAATTCTTGTCTCCCTGTAGCTCAAAAATTTGAAAATCCATTGAATTCTCATTGAAATTTGAAATTTCACAATTTTATTCTCCAAAAAAAACCTTCTGACATTTTCCTCTAAACCTGATGCCTCACGAATTCCCTCACAATAATCTCGCCACAATGCCAACTCACCAGGTGGATAGGCCCCCGCAGACCCAGCAGGATAATGCTGTCCATACCCCTCATAAGGAGCCGGTGGATACCCCGCAGGATACCGTCCCCCAGGATGGCCGAAAGCAGTGGGAACACTGCCAGCACTGGCCTCAGTCTTCACCGCATTGCCCTCCCCCTGAGGTCCTGGAACAGGAGCCTGCACCGCCTGACTCCCCTGAGGATACACCCTCTCCTCGCCCTTGGGCTCCTTCGCCACGCCCCCAGGGTAGAATCCCCCATAGATCCCAGGCGCAGCGATTCCCCTCGCCCTGGGGTCAGGATACTCATAATACCTGGGATACTCAGCATAAGGATAATCCTGCGGCATCCTCCCATGAGGATCGTCCTCTGATTGTCTCTGATCCTCAACACTAGTTCCCTGTTGATGACTGCCCTCCATGGGCGCCATTTTCCCAGGTGTCATCTCCTGCCTCTGGACACTCCCCTGAACATTCTGGGGATTAACAACACTCTGGACCTGGGGATTAACAACACTCTGCTGCACCTGAGGATTAACCACACTCTGCTGCACCTGTGGATTAACCACACTCTGCTGCACCTGTGAATGCTGAGGGGTTCTGACACTCTCCTCGATGATAATCTCGTCATCGTCCTTCTGATACGCATGCCCATACCCAGGCCTCATCTCCTTGGGCTCGAGCCTCTTCTCAGCATCCTCAGAATGCTGTGTCTGAACACTCTGAACCGAGACCTTGGACTCCCCCCCAAAACTCCTCATCTCCTCGTGCTTGTCCTCAGGGTTTTCGTGCTGAGGCATCCTCTGATTGGAGGGACTGTACTCGGAATTGCTGCCAGCCTCGCCAACAATGTCCTCTAGCCTCACCTCTTCAACCCTCTGATCAGTCCTCGGTTGTGAGTCCGATGAGTTTGAGTTCTCCCCAGCTGAATGATCCATCTCGTGTTTTTTGGAGACTCTCTGAAGGGACACCTGATTGTTGAGAGCCATGTGGTTGACGTTTCTGAGAACTGGGGTTGGAATGACTGGTTTAGGTCGTTTGGGGTCTTTATCAGGGAACTGTCGGTAGCCAGAGCCACTGCTGGGTCTCGACAGGGGTCTTGGGGTTGCTGGTGCACTTGTCGGTGTCTTCGGGATGATGGAGATGGCTGAGTTGTTTCTCAGGGGAAAACTCACCTCTGGCTTCTGGCTCTGGGGGATGCTCTGGGGGTGAGTCTGGGTCTGGGCTCTTGGGGATGTCACTGTGGCTGAGGAGATCTTCTTCGGCTCCTCCTCACGTTTCTGCTGGTTCAACTTCAGTGCTGTTCTGATTGCAATGATTTTTCCAGACTCCAACTGCATGTAGATGCCCTTGGGGCTCTTCAACACCATCACACGTTGTCCAGCCTTGAGGACGATGCTGCTCTTGTCCGGGGAGTTTGTGGGAATTACCACGTCCAGGGGGAGGGTCATCTCCTGGGCACTCATGCCCTGGCGTTGCCAGACCTCTGCTGGAATCCATCTGGAACCGACTACTCCTCTTGCTCCCAGGCCCTCAGCACCTCGTTGCTGCATCGGCCGGACTGAGGCCACTGGTTTAGGGGTCACTGTGTCGCCACCGCGAATCGCTCGGATTTGGAGACCTCCGGCTCGTGTGGCGGTGTTACCTGGGATGTAGTTGTAGCTGGGGCGAGAGCAATTGGCTGCCATTTTCTCGAGCTCGTAGCCACGACGGGCCAGGCGTTTCTCCGCTTGGGAGAGCTTCTTGTCTTTTCGGTCGACTAGCAGGCTCTCGTGGTGGAAGGGCTGCTTCGTCAGGATTGACGAGTGCTTCTCTAGGACTGTGTGCATTATCTCATCGGTGTAGGTGTCCTTGGAGGAGGAAAAGTCCTGGACCTGGGGTGTAGGGGAGACATTAGTGGGGACAACTCGATGTTCGAACATGTCTCGGGAGTAAATAACTCAATTTCCAAATTTTGGACCTAATTTTCTTCTCGATATCGCGGAATCAGGGAGGTAGGAGATTTTTCGTTGAAACATTTTTTCTAGAACGAATCGAGGTCTACAAAAAAGGTCTGAATAAAAATTTCGCCATCTGCCTTCAATTCCACGGTATTTGAAAAATGCCACAATCCCCCGACGTTTGTTTCGCTAAAAATCACTCGCCAACGAGATAATTGCGTCATTAAAAAAAATGGTGTATTCAACTTCTCAGGAAATTAAATTTATCACGCTGCTAATGACTGAATTCTTAAGCGATAATTGAAATTAGGAAAATAATAAAATGATAAGATAACAGTCATTCAAATAAAGTAGTCAATCAAAAATAATAACGATAAGATAATAATAATGGAAGTAAAATGACATAACAACTCTGTTTAGTAAACAACTCTTTTAAAAATAATAAAAAATTCAGGCCATTATTTTACGAAATTCTCGATTTATTGGAAATTCAATTGAATTTAATAATTATTTTCAAATAATATTTATTTATACTATTTTATTTGTGATGTTCAATAACTCTAACGTAGTAATTAGTCATAAATATTTGAAATAGTATTACTCCCATTAAAATCGTCTTCATATGAGAAACCCTAACTCACCTGGCTGTCCTCCTCAAACTCCCAGGACAAGGTGGTAGCCTCCTTCAGCGACAGATGTGCATCAGGATTGCACTGATCGACGACTCTGTCGGCCATCCCCTGCTTGCTGATCTGCCTGTCATAAATCTTCCTCTCCAAGCAGTTATCCGTCACCAATCTGTAGACATAACAGGGCTTCTTCTGCCCATACCTGTAAACCCTGCACACCGCCTGAGTGTCATGGCATGGATTCCAACTGGCATCAAATACAATGGCTCGATTAGCCCCCACCAAGTTAATCCCCAGTGACCCAGCCCTCGTGGACACCAGGAACAGATGAATCCTGGGATTAACATTGAACTCATTGATCAATTTCTCCCTCTCCAGAGCACTCGTGCTGCCATCCAGCCGGTAATAATTAGAATTCTTGATCCACTTCTCAGTGCTTCCATCAGGATTCTTGAAGTCATTTCTGGCCAGAAAGTCTTCAATGAGATTCAGAGTGAAGAGAGACTGGGAGAAAGCGAGGACTCGATCCCCCAGACGAATGGACTCTGTCAGAATGCAGAAGAAGAGAGTCATCTTGGCAGATGCATCGATCAACCCCTCGACGTAATTCTTCATCAAGTCTGTGGCCCAGTCGTAGGGGATTCCAGGATCTTCCTTGGCATTTGGTGAATTCTTCAGGTCCTTCTCCTCGTCCTTCATAAGAACTTCGTCATCAGACTTTATCTCGTCCAGGCTCTTCTCCTTCTCGATCAAAATATCGTCCTTATCCTTGTCCTCATCCTTGCAAATGTCTGAAGGATTTCTACTCCCAAAGTTGATGGATTTCAAGGGTCTGGGGGGATTGGACACCTCTGGAGGTGTCTGAGTGTAATTCGACGGTGGCAACGTCTGGGTCTGGATCCCCACGTTGGTCTCCTTCTTCGGTGAGAAGGTGGGGACACTGGGTCTCATGAGATTTCCTCCAGGAACCGATTTCTCCTCAGTCTTGATGACCTCGGGATTAGCTTGATAATCGAAAGAGTTCTGGTAGTTCTGGGGGAAGTAGTTCCCTGGGTACCTGTTGGCTGTATCCCACTGGTTCTGGGGCACCTGTTGGTAGTTCCCTTGCCAGTTGAAACGATCGTCAGGGCCCTTGAACTGGTTCTGAGGCTGGGGGGCACCATCAGGAGGGAAAGTCTGCAGATTCTGGGGATTCTGATAATTCCCCGGGGGATTTGGGGTTTCTGTGGGGGTTTGAGGCTGGTTGAAGGCTTGAGGGGCTGGATATCTTTGCCCTTGAGGATGAACTTGGGGGTTTGGAGGGGCTGGAGTTGCTGGATAGCCTTGAGCAGGGAAAGACTGGGGGTTTTGGTATCTCAATTGATTCTGGCTCTGATTGTTGATGTAGTTGTGCTGCTGAGGTGGTTGAGGTGGAAACACCTGTGCCTGGGGGGCATTCTGCTGGTAATTGGGGGTCTGTCCTTGGCCTCCAGGTGGGTAATTCGGTCCTTGGGGCTGTCCAGGGGGGTAACCACCAGGGAGCATTGGGGTCTGGGCCTGAGGGGCTCCTGATGAATTCTGATTATTGATGTAGCCTGGAGCACTTGGGGGTTGGCTGATTGGGGGAGGATTTCCCGTTGGTGGGTAAGAATGCTGATTCAATTGATTATCGTTCCTGAATATCTGAGGGTTGGCTCCAGCTGGCTGTTGGTAATTCTGGTTCTGATTCTGATTCTGGTAATTGTTGAAGTCAATTGGGGGATTGTTCTGGGTCTGGGGTTGGTTCTGTGGTGGATTTTGATTCTGATTCGGGCCCTGATAATTCTGGGGGGGATGATTCTGGGAAATCTGTGGAGCCCCAGGGGCACCTGGTGGATAATTCCTCTGATCTTGAAACTGATAACCCCTGTTAAACATTCCTCCCATCTCGTAATTCGTGTTATTCCCCTGATCTCGAAACTCTGGTGTCTGAGGATTCGAGAATTTCTGATTTCCCTGGCTCTCAGCACCAGCCACAAAGTTCTGTCCCTGTCCCTGGCCCTGTGGAAAATTCTGCTGGTAATTACCACCAGCTGGGTAGCCCTGAAACTGCTGATTCTGCTGGTACCTCTGATTCTGATTATTATAGAACTCGTTAAATTCACTGGTCCCCTCACCCCTGAAGTAATTACTCTGCTCATTGGGCCTGAACTCCTGATAATTCTGCCCAAAACCCTGGGAATTAGTTCCCTGAGGCGTCTGATTAATCAAATTCCCAGGCATTTGCTGCTGGAATCCCCCCGAAAAATTCCCTTTACTGTCTCCACTCTCCTCAGCAGTGTCATTGACACTGGCTGAAGAGTTCGGTTGTACACTGGCTGCAGGCTTGCTCTTCACCAGTCCCACCTTCTTCCCCTTCCTCTCCCCTCTCCTGGCCTTTGTCCTCTTGTTCCCAGGCGTCGTCTTCTCGATGGTCTCCTCGAGGTCCAGGTCGTCCTCCTCGTTAGCCTGCCTCTTCCTCAAGAAGTGATAGAGAATATCCGGGTGATTCCAGATTTTACAACAGACTGCAAATGCCTTGAGAGGATTTGGCACAGCCCTAGTCTTCACCACCTGATTCATGAAGGTGTCATAAAGCTTCCTCTGATGTGGAGTCATCCTCACCAGCAGAATATACTCCTCCTTCCTGGGCAAAGATATCTGCAGAACCGAGTGGGATCGTCTCTGGACAAAGCCCTCCAGGAGGGCATGGAGGACATGAGCTCGATACCTCATCAGTCTGATGTCCTGGGGAGTGGAGTCAATGCACTGACCGTTCTGAATGGGTCTTTCAAACATATTACAGAACTCTGCTTTGGTACCGAGATAATTAGGACGAACAAAGTCCACCATGCACCAGTACTCCAGCAGATTATTCTGAAGGGGATAACCAGTGAGGACTATTCTCCTCTTAGTTCTCATCTGCTTTAGGGCCAGGCTGATGCTCGCATGGGAGTTCTTGATCCTGTGTCCCTCGTCACAGATGACCAGATCAGGACCAGGATTCACCAGGGCTCCATGCATCTCGTCCAGCAGGGGCTTGTTCTTGTCCTCTTCCTCCAGATCCACAGTGTCCTTGAACTGCTGTCCCCTCTTTCGTTTACCCTTGTTGGATTTCTTGAGGGACAGCTGTCGATAGAGTTCGTACCCTATTAGCAAAACACCACCGACTTTCTGCCACTCCTTGATGACTCGTGCTCTAGCTGCCATTGTCTTGTGTGAATCGTTTAGAATGTGGAGATTGAAGTGACGAGGTCTTACTTCGAGACCCAGTGGGGCGTCGACACTGAAGGGAGTTGTCACCTTCTCAGGGTCTTTCTTCTCGTCTGAGGGGTCCTCCTTCGATGTCGAGGTGCCCTCCTCCTTGGTGGCTGGTTCTCCAGGCTCTTTTTTGATGGGAACTTCTGGGTTCTGAGGCGGAGGGATCTTCTGGTCGTGCAGGGGCTGGTAGTTCTGGTACTGGGGATTCTGGTAGGGCTGGGGGTACTGCGGGTTCTGCATGGGGTACATCTGGTTGGGATAGGAACTGCAGTCCATCTCCTGCTTCATGGGATACGACCCTGGCATCTGGTAGGTCTGATTCTGATTCTGATTCATCTGGAAATTCTGATTCTGACTCTGGGGTATGGGAGTTTGAGTCTCTCCAGGCTTCGTTTCAGGGTAATAATTCCCCCCAGATTCGTAGCCCTGGAACTGTCCCATCATGTTGGGAGGCATGTCTTGATGGGACCTTGAGTCAGTGCTCATGGATCTCGAGGACAAGCTGGACACATCAGTCTGGTTGGAGTTCTCCTCCTTAATCTCACACTTGTCACTCTTCTTCGTAACAACATCAGGTTTAACAGAGTTTGGATCCTCGTAGGGCAGCCACATATTGAACTCAGCCAACCAATTCTGTAAAGTATTAATAGGCATGATACAGAGAACAGTTTTGGCTGTTGTACATCTGAAGAAAATATCGCAGAAACTGGCGACTTGCAGTGTTTTTCCCAGGCCCATACTGTGAGCCAGAATGCAGCCAAATCCTGATGAGCTCTTGTACCTCTCGATGCTCTCCACAATATTATCAAATAGGAATCTAATACCACCAATCTGATGGGGCTTGATGATCCTCGCCACCTGGGGAGCCAGAAAAACATCAGGCTCAGTGTCTGGATGTCCCACATTGATCAGGACCCTTCCATGCTCGTCAGGAATGTTGTAACGATCGTTGGTGTGCATTCCAGAGTTGGAGGGATCGTCCTCAGTATCTGTTTCCTCACCCCCACTGGGATCACTCAGAACAATGCAGTCGTCATCAGAGGACTCCGATGAACTGGAGATTGTCACCACGTCCTTTCCCTTCAAGGATTTTGGCGACTTTGGCGTGGGAATCTTCCTGTGGTCTTGGTTTATGTCCTCCAGTTCACCTTCAGACATGTCAGAGTCTGAGTAATAGGGGACGTGGTCCATTGGCTCGCGTTTGGGGACCACTGGGGAGATGCTCACTGATGGAGTCATCATTCTGATTCTCTGCTGTAGGACTGTTTGCACTGGGGTTTTGCTCATTGCTCTGGACATGAGGGTTTGGCTCTGGGGCTGGGGTGGGGAGTGGTATCCACCTCGACCCTTGTGCCAACGCATTCCTGACATGGGTCTTCGTGGCGAGACTGGCTGGGACGATGAGGACTGCTGGTGAGGGGGGGAGTGCATGTTCATTAAGAGAGTGTTGGGAGTTTTTATCTGGGGTGGACCCGATGGGGAGTGGGAAATTGTCGTTCCCATTTCGTTCTGCTTGCCCTGGAGGAGACTTATGACTCTGGGCTGGGTCTTCGAGGTCTGACGGTGGTTGGCGATTTGTCGTTGGACCTCTCGGATTATTCGCTGCTGCTCCTGCACTCTTCGGAGACGCTCCATCTCCTGTCGTTGGGCTGACAGCGTCGCCTCGTCCAACTGGGTCTCGTCCATCACCTCGCGGATGTTGCGACGCATGTTCGAGAGCTTCTTCTCGGATTTCAACTCGGAGTCCTCGGTCTCGTCCTTCTTTTGCTTTTTCTTGGCTGGATCTGCATCGTCGGGGGAGCCTCGGCGTTTTGAGGGGTCGGAATCCTCGGGATCTGAGGGAGGGTGAGAGGACATCCCCAGGCTCTCGGTGTCGTCGTCTTTTGACAGGGGCTTCCCCAGGAGGTCGGCTTCCGAGACCTCTTGACCTTCTATTGGGGCACCTGGGGAAAGGGTAGGGCTTAATCTCGGAGCTTTCATTTGACTCCAACTATTACTTTTCATTTCACAAATAATTCGATTGATCCCTTATAGAAAAATTTCGAGAAAAAAATGAGGAATGCAGATACGTTCTAAAGCTCGCATATTCCCCCTTTTTAGACCATAATATTTAGTCACCCCAACACAAAAAAATAAACTTAAATTTGATCAATTACAAAGCGTCTATTCAGAAGCAAAAACCATTAATTCGTGGAAATAATCATTTACCTTCCAATGGAAGTGTATCCAAGATATTCACAGCCTCGACATCATCATCAGGACAGGAAGACTCAGACTGTTGTCTCTCCAAGTCCATCCTGACACCAATCTCGGTGTCAATGGTCTCGTCCAGATCCATGTCGTCCCCAGATCCCTCGGAATTCATCTCCTCGTGAGATCTCAAATCATCCCGATGCATCGACAAATTCTTCCTCTCCGTCTCTCCATCACTCGTCTCACCCCCTGTTTCCTCGGAGTCATCATCGTTGCACCCCTGGACCCCCTGGTTACTACCAGTGGACGTCATTGTCACTTCATCAGTACCACCAGAGACATTAGACCTGGGGGTGCTCCTCGGAGCCACTCTCTCTATCGTAACGTCCCCAATTCGAGTCAAAAAACTGTCCAAACTGTTTGACATTGTGCCCACTAACCCATTCAACTTGTTCTAATCATTCACAGCTAACTCTGATTCTTAATTGATTGAGATGTTTCTGGGACGGTTTTTCAGTGCTCACATTGTGAATATTGTTCAGTTATTCGTGGAGAATTTGAATTTTCTGAAAAGAAATTCAAGTTTTAGATTTTTTTTAATGTGTTCAGGGCAACGTAGAGGAAAAATTGACAAGTTTTTATTAATTGCAATTATTGATAATTATTAATAATTTTGAATTAGTAATAATTTTTTTTGCATCAGATAAAAGAAGAATTATCTCTACATTTTTTTAGCTAAACCCTAAACCCCTAGAAAAATCCTCAACAAGCCCCAATCATCAACAAATCCCAATAATCATCGAGAACCCCCAAAACAGATGACTGAAGAATGTTCCAGTCCCCAAAAAAAACAACCAACTCTTTTCCCATCCATCCCCCTAGCACCTCAAACACAAAACCCCAAGAAAAACCCAACAATTGAAACCCTCGCCCTCCCAGAAGCCCTAGCTGTCACATCAGAAATAATTAACAAACCCCCAAATACCTGTTCTCCTCTGTTTCCGCAAAAAAAATCCTCAACACAATCACCCCCCAGTCCCAACCAGAACCACAAACCCCAACTCCACGAATAGCCAAACAACATCGCCTAATTACCCCACGATACCTTTTAATTAGTCCCAGTGGCCACTCGACGATGAAAAATAATTCTCCTCAACCACACACACACACTCTGACGGACGCCATAGCGTCGCTATTCGCCCCGACGTACGTTCCAATGTCCGAATAAAAGTGGTTAAAATTAATTGTTGACTCCCGATGAAGCCTGATGTTCACGCTGTACAGGTGAGTCGGTTCATCTCTGTTGTTCGGGGGTCACTGAACGGTTTCAGATATTATTCTCCACAACTACTGGCGATTCCCATGACATGGGGGACGTTTATCACACGCGTCCTCACCAATACAAAGTCATTTGCAACATTTTTCCAATGGATATGGATTTGTCGGATACTTTTATTGTTGAGTGTACATCCACCGATTCCGAGAGAGAGGTCCGCCATCTTGTTGGGGACGGGTGAGGACGGGACTTCCGTTTCGGTGATTTTTATGAATTTCAGGGAATTGCAATGGCTTTTCTCTTGGTTTGGAGATGATTCCAGGAAAGTTGGGATTTTTTCTTTCACTGGTTGAGAGGGATTTTAGGGTTTTGGGGGAGCGGGGGTTTCCTTCGGGGTTCATTCGCTTTTGATTGGGGGAGATCGATAATTCCGGGGAAATAATTAATGTTGGGATGGATGAAATTTGAATGGAGCGGACGGATAGAGGGATTTTTAATATGTTAAAAACTTCGCGTTATTTTTTATTTGTTTTAAGGGATGAAAGAATGTATTTTTTGCTTGAAGGACATTTTAGGAATTTCTGAGGATGAAGTGGACTTTGAAAAAAAAGTGAAAAGGGATTTTTTGTAGAGAATTTTGCGGACTGCATAAAAGGTCTGGTGATATTTTCTGATTAAGATGCTAGAAATACAACAATCGAACTCCAATTATTGATAATACTTTATTAATCTTTCATTATCAAATGAAGTCTTTCACATATTTGTGTTCTCCTCAGTGCTTACTAATCTAATAGAATTATCAAGATATAACTCATAACGCAAAATAATTTATTTTCATAAAGAAAACAAAGTAATAAAAAGGAATAAATCAATATCGAACTGGCAAAACGTAGCGATTTTTAACCTCATTCTAAAAATTCCTAGTTTTCAGATTTAAATAATTCTGCAATCATCAATATTCTACGTTTCACCACTTCTACATAACTAAATCGCCAGGATTTTCTCTGTTAAGTCTACCTTACACGTAGTAAAAGCTATGCAGCTAACAGCGTCAGTTTTTGGCATCCTTTCTATTGTCACAAGTCTAAGAGAATAAACTAAAGTTTAACATTCGAATAAAAACTAAAGCAAACTATCCAACATAATAAAATCCTCTCTCCTCCCTCTTTACCGTATCCAGTGGTATTTTACGTTTTGGAGATTAACGAATGGAGTTTAAATGATCCCAAAGACATATTCGAATTACGTTTTACAAATTCATTATCAAAACTGTTTGAATATGAAAAAAAAAAATTGAAATTCTTATCTCAAGTTGAATTGTTTCTTCAAACGTAAGAGATGAGCGAGAGTTACACCGCTAGTTAGCAGTTTCACAGGCATCAATCCAGTCATTGTAGACGTCCAGAGGCTCTGACAGTAGATTGATCGTGGTTTGAAAGTCCTCTAGACAGACTCTGCAAGTTATTCTCGCAGTACTCTTCCCTTTGTCCCTGGAAAAATGGCAAACAACTGCATAAATTCACTTTAAAAAAACAAGGTCATAATCGTGTCGTGAAATCTCACAAGACAGTTCTCGAAAATCATCAAAAAATCGTTCCCATCGATCCAGGAACAGGAAGTAATGATTATTTTTGATGATTTAATCGTGAATCCTTTGTTGTTATGCCTCAACTTACATCTTAACCTCACAAGACTTTTCGTGATTGCAAAATGGACAATTGAACTGCGTGTCCAAGGGTTGAATGGCCTTCTTCTTCGCCGGTGGCTTTCTCTTACTCTTCCTGCGACCCATGACACCCTCTGACAATTACTCTCACCACAAGATAAATTATTTTTTCGTTGATCAACAACGAATCAACCTCTGCAGGTGCAAAACAGACGAATGTTGTTGTTTTTTTTTTCATTTCTCCCCTTTGTTGCTTTGAATTAGGGGTTTCAGACGACGACGACAGGTGGAGCTGGGCTCACCGTCAAAAGTTTATAAACAATGAGAGCAAAGGGATAGCAATTATCAGAAGTCAGAACGGAAATTGATGAATATTTCAATTGTTTTCAATTTTTGTTCAGCGTCAATTTGGAAGTAATGATGGAGGATACAATGTGAGAATTTTTACTTCTCTTTTGATGAGGATATCTCGACAACGACTGGTTCTACGAGAAAACTTCATCAGACTTTTTTGAAGAGGAGAAAATTTCGCATAAAAAATGTCTTTTGATGTTTTCTCGTAGATCGACTCGTTATTGAGATAATTTCAAATTAACAAGAACTTGAGATTTCATTAATCGAGTCATTTTTTTTCTGTGACATTTTCTTTGATTGCGTGCTTATCTTGGTATGTAATGACGATAGAACATCAAAAGACGTTTTTTGTGAGGATTTTTGTCCGCTACAAAAAATTTGTTTAGATTTTTTCCTGCACCTATACGAAATCGCAAGAAGTGCCAAATTCCAGTTATTCTGTCATTCATTAAGGATTTTGTCAATTCTATCTTCATCTAGCTAATTAAAGGGTTTAGAAAAAAATATCATAAGACATTTTTTGTCGGAAATTTTCTCCTCTACAAAAATTTCCTCCGGCATTTTCTTCTAAACCCAACCATTAACGCGCTAATTCCAAAATTAGCAAAACAGTTTTGCTCTCGTCGATAGCCCCTTCTGTCCACTTCGTTAAAAACTGAATTTAATTTTTTTTACAGCCGTCTGGCGACAATTAGTTCACTTTAATTATGCTCCGGTCATAATGTGTGACTGCAATCAACTCGGAGCGGAGTGGGTCATTCGAATGTACTGAACGAAGTGGGAAAATAGTAGTAATCTCGCTATATATTATTAGTCTAGTCGCTGTGAGTTATATAGAGGGCCACGAGTTGATTACACGTGGGCAACTTTAGTTGGAGCTCGAAGTTCTTCAGCCCACAACGTGTCGTCCTCAGGTGCATGCAGTTCTCATACAAGTCTCGATAAATTCCTGTTTTGTCATCAGAACTGGGAAATTTTGAGTTATTTTGCTTCTGGGGCCGGATTTTTTTTCAAATTTCAACAATGTTCGTTTTTCTGCTCGGAGTTTTTGTTCTACCGGCGCTTACATGTGCTGAGGAGATTGACCAGAAATTGCTACAATGTTTGGGTGAGCAAACAGCAGTCATTGATTGTTTTTCTTATAATTTTTTGGTTTTGTGTGGGAATGGTCGGAATTTCGTATTTCTTCGTTCAGTACTTTGTGAATAACTCGAGAATTACTGGATTTAGAGGAAAATGTCAGAAGAAACTTTTTGTAGGGAATTCAATTTCCTACAACAAAGATTTTATGACATTTTTTCGTGTAAGTACTCATTACCGAGATAATTCAATAGTTCGGGAATGTGAGGGAGTGATAACCTGAGGAGGGGAATATTTCTTGCAAAAAAAATGGAAATACTGTTTCATACAACCGTATATGAGCAAATACTGGTTCAATTGAGTATTTCAAATAATAATTTGTAAGCCAGTGTAAAAACTAGTGGAGGCTTTAAATCCCCACAAAAAGTTGTCCAGAAATATTTTTCAAATTGGTGTCAAATTTTTTAGTTTGCAGAATAACAGTTGAAGAAGTGGAGAATGTTCTCAATACAATTGATCCCTCTCAACAGGTAGAGGTCGGAAATTACCGTCTGGATGCTGACGGAAATATCCAGAAGAAAATGGTAATCCCCTTTTCTCATCACTTAATCATCGTTAAAACTTACCTTAGTAGATCTTAAAAAACTAATTGATTTTACGTCCTTTGCTGCTCATCATGCCTTTAAATTGCTCACCATTGGCCCACGGATATCTAAAATGCACAAATGTCTGTTGTCTCCTCGTCTTTTCTCATCGCGTCAAAATATGAAACATTAAATTTTGTAGAGTTTTAGAGACATTCAGAAAATATTTTAGTTTACGATGTCTTCAATTATTTTTTTCTCAGGTGGCCAAGAGAGAGTCTGAAGTCCACCTTTCAGAAATTCTCGACAATATCTGTGATAAAATGGACGACTACGTCAGAGCCAGGTACAAGTCGAATGGTAAACTAACTGTGATGCGACTGATGACTCCAGAGGGTCAGATGAATCCTGACATCAGCAATGTTGATATTATTCAGGATGGAGACCTGAACAAAAGCCTAAAACACTACGTGAGTATGAAAATTTTTAGACCAAATTCAGTCATCCCAACACAAAAAAATGGTAACGTAAGTTTGAAAAAAAATTTTTAGTGCCGAGAAATCATCGAAGAGCACGAGGACCCAATGATCGAACTCTTCCAGAAAGGAGGAACTGACGTAATCAACAAAATCTGCACGAGAGAAACGAACATTTGCGACGACGAGCTTCCGCCTGACGACGAGGAAGAGGAGTCCGACGACACAGAGCGAGATGAGCTCTGAGAAACAAAATCATGCCATTTTGTTTGTAAATATCTGAGAAGACTAAGGCATTTTGCGCCCCTCCAATGCTCGGGATACTTACCGAGAGGGTTTAACAGCGTAATCCACCAATTTCTGAGGGTTCAATGAGCTTTATATTGTTTGTAAACCCTTGGAAATCGATTGTATACAACGGGAAGCACATATCAGAGATTGAACATTGTGATTTCTATTTTTTGGCAATAAATTTTAACTCTTAATTAATTTATAGTGAGAATTTCACTGAGAAAATCATCAAAATGTCCCAGAAAATTCCATTATTTTTGTCGACAACCCTAATATTTCTCCTCTCCTTAAAAAATGAGAAAAAAATTAAAAAAGAGAGGACAATTCAAAATACCTGAGTGTTTTTAATCAATGAATGTTGCAGAAATTATGACTCAACAAATGCCTCAATAACATTGGGAATTGATCATTCTTGATTCATCCAAAGTTTTAAAAATTCTTGACCAACTTCAAGTTTTATTCCATTAAATCACAATGATTGAATTGAATTAATCCACCTTCTCCTCCTTCTTGCCCTTTTGCTTCGAGGAAGAGAGGATTGACGAAAGTTTCTTCTTACTGGCAGACACCAATGTCGTCATGAAGCCTTCCTTGATGTCCTTCAGGACGAGTCTCTTGGTTGAAATGTTGTGGAGGGGGCCAAATGCAAGAGCAACTGCTGTGCATGCCAGGCAAATCACGTTGTATGGCATGCTGAAGTCTGGGGTTGGCAGAGTGATCACTATGGTCTCTGTGCGAAGTTGGACGAGGTATCCAGGCCTCGATGCATTGAAACTGTTGGATAGAAAATTATTAAATGCAGTCATTCAATGAATGACATTTTCTTATGAGACAACTTATCGCCTTGATAATTAGGTAATCAACAGGAATGAAGTCTTCGATAGGAATTATTGTTAAATTTTTAATCCTCTCAGAGAAATCATTTTTTGCAGAGAATTTTCTCACTTGCAAAAAATAACAAAAAATAAAAAATTGTGTGCAATTGTATTTTCATCCAATTGGAAACGATTTTAAATTATTTTATTTTATTAATTTCATTTGGTTTTTAATAATTACCTAGAGGTTATCGTGCTTCCATCAACAGGCAATCCAGTGTAATTTCTAGCAGTAGGAAGAGAAGCAGTGATGACGGCAGGGCCCATATAAAATCCATGATTAGCGTCAGGTGGATACTCCTGCCACTTCAGGAACAAATAATCGATCTCAATGGAGAATTTTGTGACAGAATGTGGGGGAAGACGCAGAATTAACTCGAGGTAGTAAGGCTGGAGTCTCTCCCTTCCAGGGGAATACCTCAGGGTCACTGAAAAAAATTTTTTTTGCAACTCGAAATTTATTGAATTTTGGAACAAAAACAAACCGATTGCAGTGTTGAAATAATTTTGTCACTTACGAGGCTTGACATTTTCCCCATTACGTTCAATCTTCATGGAATGTAAGTACACTGATAAGTACCAGGGAATGTTCTCCAACAACACAACGTCGATAGCCTGCCAATGATTGTTGTGTAATTTTGTTATCAGAGTTGCTTTTTCTTGGCCATACTCTGAAACGTGAAAAAGCAGTCTTATTTTTTCGATTATGGCACCAGTTATTGACGAGGAGTAATCATGGATAATAAAAAAAAATCGGAACAGAAACACGAAAAAACAAATTCAAAAATACGTGAAATTTCAAGAGTAACTGTACTCTTGTTAATTAATAATTACCAATAACATATCGATTAGCAGACAAAATCGAGGGAAACTCCACGCCTCCAGTTCTGGCTTTACTGTGCACAGCAGCAATATTGAAAGCCCCTTGAGTGCTGAAAGCCCTGTTATCATAAACAGCAATTTCAGTTCTCTGTCCCCCTCGAAGGCTCAGGATCGTGGCACTGGGGCTCGGTGTCAGTCTGTACGTGTGAATACTATTATTCGTGGAAGTATCAACATAGATGTTGCTCAGTGTTGCCAGAGGGCAGACTCCCGTCAGCCCCATTCCAAACAATTTCCTCAGGGACCAGTCCTGATTGCCCTCAGCCATCGTGTCATAAACCAGGGAAAGGGACTGTCTCAACTCTAGAGAAGACACTGTGCAGGCTGCATTCCCACAGACAGTGCGGAAGTGAATCCCAATGGAATGGTAATTGGTGTTGTGAATGTACGCAGAGTTGAGGAGGGTTGCCAGGCCTCTTTTCGAGTCACAGGGCAGGAGCTTCTTGAAGGGCGTGAGGTTCTCAGTGCAGACGATCTCCCTCGGTAGGGATGAGTACCGCAAGTGGCTGGAGTTCGGGAGCCTCTCGAGGACGCCCTGTGGCCGGAAGCTGAACTCTGGGGACATGCTGTTGGAGGAGTCCACGAAGTTCAAGGAGGCACAGAGGAGACCGGAGAGGGCATTCGTCAGGGCCTTCCATTCCTTGTCGACACTAGATGTGAATGGGGATTATTGGTTTGAGGTTTCAGACTAGGGAGTTCAGAACAAACCTTAAGAGATACTTTTTACTAACAGAAAGACTTTTTCAAGAGAATTTCGAGGACTAAAAAAAGTATGTTGACATTTTCTTTTCAACCCATTGGTTTCACATGAGAAAACCAATGTTTAATTTTATTTCATTAAAACTCCTGTATTTATTATTCTTCAAGTACATCTGAAACCATCATGTTTAGGGAGAAAATTTCAGGATGAAAAATAAATGAATATGGTTCTTACTCCTGCACTTCCTCCTGAAACCAGGCGTAAATCTCAGCCCCAGGTCCTGCATCCACCACTGGATACCCCCATTTCCTGTACTTCCAGAGTCCCTCAGTGAGACTGATGTGCAGCTCCTGCACGTGGTGCCTGTCAATTAAGACAGTCAGCCCTCGAGGGAACAGGTGGGTATGCTGCACTGGGAAAAATTGAGGAAACGAATCATCTTCAAGGGTCAAGTGAAATTTAACGACTTTTTGTCATTTTAAATGTATTTTTTTAAGCTTAAAATAATTAAAATAATTTGAATGATGCTGAATATTCATATGATCTTTATAAAAAAATTCTTACGCAATTTAATTGACAAATTTGATGATTGGAATGGTTGAATACTCAACAAACAGTTGGATTAATTACGAAAATTAACTCACATCGTTTAGAATTCCTAGATACTCTCCACAGAGTGGTAAATTGAAAATAGGCGTAGACATGCCCTGATGCCAGCGGCTTCAGGAACAATTCCTCATCGAACGAGTCATTGTAAGCGGCCTCCGAGCTTGATAAATTCACCTGGATGATGGCGATAAAAAGCAAACATTTGATTCCCATCATCTTGCTCAGATTTACATCTACGAGGAATCTATTTATCACATAATTAATGCTAAATTAATGCATCCGACACACCGGCCAGTGTTTTTTGGGAAGGGGGGTTCGTTTAAACAATCTCAGATAGACATCACAGGTTTTTAGTGCTGATCACAACTCATTAGACGAGCTACTCCCCCAAGTTTTTTGGAGCGAAAATACCGGCAGGGACCCCTGCCGACGTGATTAGTACTCCCCGCAGCTGTCTAACCCATAAAAAAGTGGAGATTCTCGCTCGCAATAAATTTATTTTACCCAAACAAGTCGTAAAAAATCGAATTTTTAACAATAGTCTTGAATCAGGTGTTTGAAATGACAACGGAGAAAGTTGACTGGGGTAAACTTGCAGAGGAGGGAGACCTATTGGCGTCTAGCGTGAGTATCTTGACAATTTTCCTGTGAAGGATCGACTTAACCTGCTCCAAAGACATTTAGAAACTTGATTTTCATCATTTTTTTTCTGATAAAAATATTTTCTGATTAGTGTTGTCAGTTGAGGGTCAGGTTTTGGAGACTATTACATAGTCAATTTTTATTAACAATGAGACGTTTTAAATTCTCCAAATATCGATGAATAAACCCTGACATCACCTTCATAAAAAAAATCAATCTTCCCACCAGGTCACAAACTTGACCATCAAACAAAACAGCACACCCCCTGAAACCAATGGAGTTGATGCCTCCGACACTGAAAAAGCCCCGACAGCAGCAGAAGAGTCCCTCCTCAAGAAACTCCTCCACAAGTCTCTCGTCGAGTCCAAACAGGAGCTGGAAATCCAGCGTAAGAACCCACACTCACCCCTGTACAGTGTGAAATCGTTCGAGGAGCTGAAACTCCAGCCGAAGCTTCTGATGGGGGTCTACGACATGGGGTTCATGAAGCCCTCGAAGATCCAGGAAATGGCCCTGCCAACTTTGCTGGCTGATCCACCAGGTAATTACAAATATCACTGATTTGATGATAAAACGGCGTTTTCTCACACTGATGGTAACTATCTCGAAAACTAAATGATATTAAATGCAGTCTAACCTTGGGAAAGATATAAAACAAGCACAATCTAGGATACCATTTAAAAATATACTGTTTAAAATCGAGAACAACTATGTCACCAAAGTTTACTTGAAGGAAATATATTTTTCATCAAGTTTTTTAATGTACCTGTTTTTTTAAATATATAATAAATATTGTGAATATTTAATGTGTCGTTGGATGAGAGCGTGATTGAACAAAAAAATGTTTATTCACCAGGGAATATGATCGCCCAGTCCCAGTCTGGCACTGGGAAAACAGCTGCCTTCGTGCTGGCCATGCTGAGCAGGGTCGACACGTCGAAACCTTATCCCCAGGTGCTCTGTTTATCACCTACTTATGAGTTGGCTATTCAGACTGGGGAGGTAGCTGCCAAGATGTCCAAGCACTGTCCTGAGATCAAGATCAAGTATGCTGTGAGGGGAGAACAGAGTAAGTGAATTGTTTAATTTATTGTGAGGCTGGATAGGGAAAAAACTTGGGAATGAGTGGGTTCATGGGAGAATGCCAGAGATACTTGTTCTTGGAAATTTCATCAGTTACAAAAGAGATTTTTTTTTATTTTATCGCATTTCATCATTTCACGACAAAATTACAGAACAGAATTAATTGAATGCATTGGTTTTTTCCAGTGGCAAGAGGTGAGAAGATCACGGACCACATAATCATCGGCACCCCTGGCAAAGCCCTGGACTGGTCCCTCAAATTTCGATTCTTCGATCTCAACAAAATCACAGTTTTTGTTCTCGACGAGGCCGACGTGATGATTGCCACACAGGGTCATCAGGACCAGTGCATCAGGATTCACAAGATGTTACCCAAGACATGTCAGATAATGTTCTTCTCGGCGACGTATGAAAAAGCAGTGATGGACTTTGCTGAGATCATTGTCGACGCTCCCATGATCATCAGACTGCTGAAGGAGGAAGAATGTTTAGACAACATCAAGCAGTTCTACGTCAACTGCCAGGACATGGAAGCCAAATACGACGCCATCACCACGATCTACACGAATCTCACAGGACAGGCCATCATTTTCTGTCACACGAGGAGGACTGCTTCGTGGCTGGCTGAGAAAATGGTCGATGAGGGATTCACAGTGGCTGTATTGTCTGGGGATATGACTGTCGAGGATCGAATCAGAGTTCTGGATCTCTTCAAGGAGGGCTGTGTCACTGTTCTGGTGACAACTAATGTGTTAGCTCGAGGTAATTAGCCCAGTTGTTTCTCACAATTGGTACATTGAGCAATTCATTTTCTCTCATTAATGCATTTTTCTCTAGGCATTGACGTGGATCAGGTGTCTCTCGTCGTAAATTTCGATCTCCCCATTGATCAACAACGGAAAGCAGACCACGAGACGTACCTCCACAGGATCGGTAGAACAGGTAGATTTGGAAAGAAAGGAATCGCCGTAAACCTCGTCGACTCCCCCCAGGCAGCGGCTATTTGCCAGGACATGGAGAGACACTTCGGGAAGAAAATCGAACTCCTCGACATAGGTTGTCGGGACCTCAAGGCTAAAATTCGACAGTAGCGAACAACATGAATAGCTCCACTTATTTTAATTAATATCATAATTACTTCCTAAGTTATCGACTTAATAAAGCTTTCATACCCATGAGTTTATTTTATCATTCAATGATTCTTTGATTGTGCATGCAAATGGCATTCAGAGCCTGTTGGAAGTAGAAATATGTATTTTTTTATCGAATACTCGTTCGTCTTCGCTCGACACAACTAATTTTCCTGGTTGGATTACCTTATTGTCAAGATGATATAGCTTTGAATAAAATTTTTTGAATAAATGGGAAATTATTTCGTTGATGAACGGATTAAAAAGACATCTCAAAAACCATTTCATATTGGGGATTTAATTCCCAATATTAATTTTTTAATTAATTTGAGTGATTGAACAATTAACAAAAGTGGCTTTAAACGAAATATAACGAATAATTATAAACATTGCCTAATTATTCTCCATCAAATTTTGCAGCGGTACATTTCGATTTTTCAAATCACCCGTCAAATGCACTCGCAACACTGCAGTTTCCTGAATTATCGTGAGCGGTCTGTCTATGGAAAAAACCACCCAGAAATTTTGAGGTTATGGGTTTGACAGTTTATCAAACATGGCTGCAAGTGCCTGCACACCTTAGTATTCATCACAAACACAAGGGGCACATAAAGGGAATAAAAAATACTCTTCGCGGGTGTACTGTAATTGAAATGCCACACATGAAACAGTCAGTTGCATTCCAGGAGTTCTGAAGTCTCTCGACAGCAGGTAAATAACAAAAATCATGGGAAATTTGATCAAGGTCACTGATTAATTTGTTATGTGGGAGAAAGATAATTCTTTGTTTGGTGATGGGAATTAATGCAATTGCTGTTGCAGCTGCATTTCTTGAGGGTTTATTGGGGGGGACAAGCTTCAGTTGATATTCCTGCGATTGAAAATGTCTGTGGGACGGGTGGGAAGTGTTGGATTTCCTGGGTTTGTCAGTGGTATTGGAGTTTATTGATTGGCGGGAGTCATCAGTATTTACTGAGGCTCAAGTGGGCTTGATGATAACGTATCTGATGAGGGGCTTCATTCGTGGCTTTGCTCGTGTATTTGTTTGAATTTTGGGTAGATTATCAGGAAATACATCTCTCAGACTATTTAATTGCATTGATGTGGTTCAACAGTTTAATTTTAAAAGATGTCACTGGTGAAATCATAAAAGATAACTCAAGTGGCTGCATTTTGAAGTAATTGAAGGGTTTGCATTTGAATAGTGCGTCACATGTGCCTTGATTAGAGATAAAACACTTCGTTGAGGGGATTACGATCTGCATGTGATTCCATTTCTGTTGCTTTACATATTTTTTAATATTATTGAAATTAAAGTCATTCGTAAGACGATTTTCTCTCATGCTGCCATGGAGATTCGTATAAAATTATTCATGAAATTGCAACAGTTGAAAATTTATAACAGTGAGATAAATTGAACGATTGAAGTGAATCTCGGGCTTTGCGATGCTCTTCATTGGAGTCATTATCCAATTCATGGGGAAAGATGATGGAATGATTTCATGTTCAATAACCCGAGATATTTTTTTGAATTGAATATTCGAACAAGTCTTCTCGTGTGAGTTTTATCTCTGATTTTTTTAGATTATTATGATAAAGATGTGATTCATCGAGTCTGGGTAGCAATAGAGTGATGTCAGGAGATGAAAAAGTCGAGGAGAATTATCAAAAATTATCCAGACTGGTAATCGACAGAGGAATTGAACGAAATGCCAAGTTTGAGGAAGAAGGTGGTGGGCTTCATGCGCCAGCTCTCGATTAGCAATTTGACAGCAGCTGTTGAGAGTATTGGGCATGGGGAAGGCTCACTCCATCCACCAAGGTCACCGCCTGCTGATATTCTTGGGGGATGCTTCATCACGAGATATTTGAATGGGTGAGGCAAAAATCAATGTAAATATTGACAGCTAATTGGTGAATTCATTAATTTTGTGACTTTGTCTTCAGATTGGATCAGAAAACCGAGGGACCTGTCATTCTTCATGGCAGAACCCCGGAAGAACTGCCCTCGAAACCCCTGGGTAAACTAGACAACGATGAAGAGGTATTTGCAGCTGTAACGGGTCCTGATCGGGGCCTAACAACGGTAAACCTCAGGCAGAGACACTTGAGTATCAGTGACCCAGATGTTGATTACATTGACATACTGGAGCAGAGTGATCCACAAACGACTGGTGAGCTCTCCCCTGATTTTTTATTCACCTGTTTTTCCAAATATAGATACACTCAACAGAACAAGACAATACCCTCGAGTTTCAGACGTTTTTATTTATGGCTTGTTACCAACTCTGGATATATCTGACCTCTCCATTTTTATACAAAATCAATAGTCCCGAGTGAAAATACAATTCGATTGAAATATAAACGGCATTGTAACGTATAAAAACAATTGTATGGACTCCATATTTAAAAAAAAAATGCGTGACAGTCGATGAAATTGTTTTTTACACTTGAAAATGAGAATAATTTGCCTAGAAATTGAGGCAATTCACCCTAAAAATTCTGATAAATTGTTTTCAACATGTAAAAACACGAAAACAACACAATATCAATCACAAATTGGACTTACGCAGTTAACACCTCGATGGATTGTATATTTTCCGTGGCGCATGATCGTTGGTTAGTCATACGCACAAAAGAAACATCACTGTGTCCAATAGACAACAGTGGAGTTAAAATACGTGCAGCTGGAAAATTGTACGAGCCAGATAACAAGTACACGATGAACATGAGCGAAACAACAGGAGTTAACAAAAACTACAGCGTTAAATTTATGGATGAACACATTCACAATGACTATCTATCCAACAACGTGATGAGTGAGCCTGCCAGGGCGAGCGTTAGATTCGATACAAATTGCGTCAATGCTAACGTTCCACCAGGGGACTTCTTCATTGGTCAGGAGGATCCACTCGAGGGCTCCAGTGACAGTCTCAATGATAATTCCGAGGAGGATAAGATTGATATTGTACTGAGAACAGCTTCTGACGACACTCTCGATAATATGGATGAGGCTGACTCTGATAATGATATCATACCACCTCCTTCCGATTTTGCCAATGAAATGATTCCACTCAGGAAGTCCAAGAGTGCACCAGCACCCTTCAAAAAGGCCCAGCAAGGTGCTCAATCTGTTATCAGCATGTTCTTATCCAGCATTTATTGTTTCAATTGGTATTTCAGTTGATGTAGCTGTTCGTGGCTTTGGATTTGTTGTGGAATTTTTCTTAGCTAGAACAGGGTTTTTTTTTAAGTGGAAAGAAAATGGAAAATGCTTGAGTTCTGCTTGGCATGTACTGAGTTTGCCATCTAGATTCAATTTTTATTTCGATTCTAGTATCTATTTTGCATTGAGACTTGCTAAAACATCAGTCAAGTACAGTAGAGTGAATATTTTCAGGGTCAGTTAGCAGTCCAGAAGTAGCAGGAGTAACTGACTGGTTTTCACCTCACGATATGGCCTATGGAATAGCCACAACACTGTACGAAAAAAATCCTACAAATAATGTTACCAATGGCGAGCCTATTGCTGACTGTTTCGCCGTTGCTGCCAGGCCAAATGCAGCTGTATTAGCACTTGCCGATGGTGTGAATTGGGGTGAGAATAATTTATCAACGTGTTTTTACAATAGATTAGCAGAATTTCTCAGTTTCAAAAGAAGCTTCAAAGGCATAACCAGATTTTTTAAATGAGAAGAACAAATGGTGAATAATAAACTTATAATTTAGGTCCTAAAGCGAGTATTGCAGCTCGTTCAGCTGTGCACGGTAGCATGGACTACCTCAACAAAGCACTATTTTCATCACCATTAAACAGCGGTATTACGACAACACGTGACGTATTCATCGCACTGTTATGCTCATTTCATGCAGCTCACGCTTTGATTCTCCAAGAACAGGGAATGCTTACGACTTTAACTGTGTGCGCAGTATTGCCACTGCCAAATCCACAGGGATCAAACATCAGGCCTAAGAAATACATTGCCTGCACTTGCAATGTTGGCGATAGTCTCGCTTATGTTTATTCCAAGTAGGTTTTTTATGCACGAGTGTCTTTGTTGTGTCGGAAGTTTCTGGGTTTTTGGGGGTTTCTTTTGGTCTTGTTGGGGTGACGGTGACAGCCATCGCGGCACGATTTTAGATGAGTGGCTATTTTTGATTTAAACGTGGGGCGGGGCAAATGACAGATTTTCTGTTTAGGTTGGGATTTAAGTATTTTAGACAGATTTTTTTCACTGCAATCCTCTTTAATATTGATATTTAAGCATCAGAGATTCCATTTAAGCATTGTCTGGCCTCTTTTTACAACGAAAATGTTTAAAAACGGATTGTATCAAAAAACGGATAAAAAATAATAATTAAATAATTTAATGGATTCAATATTTCCATTTGTTAATCCAGAAAGACTGGAGTACGAGAGATAACTCGAGGCTCCCATGACATTCACTGCATGCGAGACATGCGTGATGCCCTCGGGGCGTTGGGCCCAGTGGACGGTTGCAATCCGGAATTGAACAATCTCACTCTAGCGATGACGGAAGTCGAGCAGGGTGACATTGTGTTCTTAACGAGCGATGGAATTTCTGATAATTTCGATCCAGTCGTTGGGAAATTCGCCATTCTTCCAAGTGGGCCCACCTCGGCCCGGTCCGCCAAGTCCGATGGCAGACAGACCAAGAATTACAAGAGACCTGATCACGTCAGGAGGACCAATTCAGCTGGCCATGCCGATGGAAATGATTTACCTGTTGTTGAGGCTTATCAACGACATGAGTTGACTCTACTCAGGATGGAGGATCTTTTGAGGAGGGGAGTTTCTGGGGACGGACCGCCATGTCAAAGTGCCAAAAAATTGTGCGAACTCGTGCTCGATTTTGCGGTGAGTGCACTTTTACACAAAGATTTTTATTCTAAATGCATTTTGGAGATGATTTATTCATTCTGTATCACCACTTCACTGTTGAAATATAATTTGTTGCATAGAACTACGAAAAGATAACGCATACAAATGTTAGATATGCGTTTTTCATTTTGAAAACACTAGGGAAAAATTAGAAGACATTACAATAATTTTCATTTATTCTGTGGAATAAAAAATCCTCCTTTCATATTTTTCATCTAATTTTGATGCGCAATTTCAATTGGATTTTTCCGTCACATTTTTTTATTGAATACAACGAAAAAAAATATTAGACACGTATTGTTTATTCTAAAAGAATATAAGGAATTAGGAAACCCTTGCAACCGTTTGGACAAGTAATGCATCATGCATTTTCATTCATTCCTCGAAATGAAAAAATAAAATGCGTAATCTCGATTGCGTCATAAAAGAGACGAATAAATGAAATGAACCGGTGAATAATATCATCTCCACAACCCTTAGGTTCGAATAACAGCTGCAAAAAGACGAATTCTCGAGGACGCAGACCTCTACTACTCTCAATCTAAAGACGGTCAACTGGTGCAGCTCTCGAAACTCGAGCAGCGATCACGAAGGAAGAAGATGCTTGACAAAATGTCGATGGTCCCTGGGAAGTTGGATCACGCCACAGTCGTTGCGTACGTCGTAGGCTCCTATGGCGCCGCTGAGAGCGATCTTTAGTCATCGTCCCGTTGAAAAAAAACACGACCACGTGAAGAGTCATGCACAGAATTTATTTACAGAGCAGAAATATCCAAATTAAATATAGCAGTTATCCTCCGGGACGTGTCAGTCTTGTTTTCGTTTAGTTTTCGTTTCTTCCAAAGGTTTTAAAATGATACTAGTATTAGGAATACCGAGCCACTGCCCATGAATCATTTTTGCTGGACCTGTAAAATTTATTGTATAAAATATTCATCCGTCACTGGATCTCGGGAATTGAGTCGAGGCGTCCGATCCTCTTTGGATGCCATATTTTTGTAGAGATTGGGTAGATGCACCTAAAGAAATATACAAATGCCACTGAACAGGATAGGAATTAATCGATGACTTGAGAATTCTCAAAACATTTAATTATTCATCATCAATGGGAAACTTGCATGAATTACAGTATTTTTTGTTAAGTAAAACTTTTTCACAATAATTAACAGAAAACCAGTCGTTTGCGGATAGGAAACGTCTCACTAGTATTAACAACCGATAAAAACATTGAAAAGATGTCATGCAAGTTTCCTACTCAATGGATTATTCGGGTAAAGCAATAGGTGTCGAGTCACTGTTGAAAAATGTATTTTTTATTCATTGATTTTGTTCATTCTCTAGCTCCTAATGGTTTTATTACAGAGCCAGGCAGCTGACATAGCCCCCGGCACTTGTATTCCATTGAAAATTTAATTTAAGTCATGTCTCCATAAGAATAATAGTATTATGTTCATAACTTTATATTTTTTTAAACGAGTAACCCAATGATAAGTTAATTGTAATTGTTTTTTTTTGTTAAATAAATTTTTAATTTCACTGGAGACACGTGACTAGCCATTGAATGTTCCTTAATCCTTCGGGTTATCATAAATAAGGAATTATTGTAGGTTTGGGTGATATGAGGTAAGTATGCAACTATGATATTAACAGACATTTGTTATCATTTGTTCCACTTAGTGGATAAATTATGCTAATGATGTAGGAGTTCTGTTTCACTGGGTAATTATCAATAATTGAACAATGCACAGTTAATTATTTCCTTCCCCACTATCACCAACGATTAAAATTAGATGCTCTACACATGAAGGCCCGACCACCTGTCCTCACAATTACCCAAATAGCTTTCAATTGTAAAACTTAAATAAGAATGTAAATATTCTAAAATAATTTTCAATTTTCAAAAAAAAAATTCTGTACAATTTCACCTTTCACTATCGAACATCTCAAAAGAAATTGCTCTTGCAAATATTGCAAAAAGGAAGGAAAAGTCTTTAAAAACTATGATTCCTACAATAATTGGAGAAACGATTTATACAAATGATTATTTATGTAAAAAAAAATGAATCACAAGGAGATCGAGTTGTCTCGATGTCGCATGAGTAAGTAGACCCTAAGATTAGGTTGAACTTGTCTTTTCCAGACTAAATGCACAAGGGGAATTCATCCTAATGAATTCTCATGGCAACAATATATTTTCATAAGGCTAACTTCTCGATTATTTCTTTGTCTTCATAAACGAATCATACAAATTGATAGAGAGTATTCAACTCGAAATATTCAACAAAATATTCTTGATTGGAAATTAATTTACCAGGAAAATTGCAACGAGAAAATTCGAGCGAACGAAGAGAGACTCTTCCGTATTAATCAGCATTCCTGAAGTAATACTAATGGTCCATTGAGACTCGCATGGTCCATCAACCATAAAAATACTTAAGAAATACCCCATTCACCCCCCGATTCTCAGTTTTCACAGGGCAATTGAGCAACAAGTCTTGTGATACCGTGAAAACCGAGACAATAACAACAATTTGGCACATCGTGAATTTCAATTAGTGATCACTTTTCACCATGTTCAGCGTGATCATCTGATTGATCTGAACATTGGGCCCTCGATACGTATTTCCTCGTGCTCCCTCTCGGGATTCTGGGGAGGGCTCTGGCGTCGCGTCTTGGGGGGTCGAGTTTGACCCACAATCACCTCGAACCAATACAGCGTTGAGAACGTTGTCCCTTTGCTCCGGAGCGAACTGCAGAAACGGTCTCGATGGCACTTGCACTGATACGTTCCTGGAAAATAGAACGAAGAAATTGCAAGGGATTAGGCGATTTAAATTCAAAATTGATCAATTTTTTGAGAATCATATGAGGTGATTTATTTTGCTCATTAGAATGAACAATTTTGTAGAGACGAGCAAGATTTAGATTAAATAAATAAATTAATCAATCAATATATGAATGAATAAAATGGAATGGAATGAAAAAAAACTTGACAAATCGATTTCACTTTCAAGTGAATCGTTTAAAATGTATTTTGTTCAATGGAAAATAATCCTGGCCTTGACCTCAAATAAAAAACCCCCCCACAACCCTAAATAAACCCCGCGAAATAAATAATAAAGCTTGACACTTGTGAAGACGTTTAAGACACTGAAGCGTAAAGGACAGATGTTTACTTGGCACCACGTGCATCGAGGGACCCTAGGATAATTATAAAGATACAAAACACGTATGCAATTCTCCCTGTGACTCATGAACCAGTTTCATGCGTAATAGTTTTTCTGAGGTGAGTGAACCATACTATAAGTGGGTACCGTGTTTTCGCTCATCCCCCTTTGGGATTTCCCCTCGGGGGTTTTTTGGCACAAGATGCATAAATAGAAATGGTATATGGCGTAAGGCAGATGCACTCCGCAGGGGATCGAGCTTTTTAAAGATCCCTGATCCCTCTGTATCTCGTCACTCTGGGATGCTTTACGTTTTTTTTCTTTTTTTTTACAAAATGATCACTAATCAAATGATGAATCAAGAGGTACTTACTCGGGAGTCCATGAACTGGGGGTTGTTTCCTCGTCCTCAACCTCAATTGTCGTGGAAATTGCTGTGGAGCCCGATGTGTTCACAGTACCGTCTTCCTCATCGTAGCTGGGGTCGACCTGTACCCAAGAAGGGGGAGTCGTTGGCATTGCATTGACCAAACGTTCCTTGACATTGTTGTTGTTGTTATTGCTGGTGATCACTGCAGAATAGATTGGAGGCTCCTCGTCGGTATAGAAGGGTTGTTGCAGGTGATAGGCTGTAACAAAAACTGTTGTTTGATGCAATTGTATTTACGTTAGTGATGAATGTGGAGGGATTTTTTTTTTT